TCAGCCCCTTAAGACAAAACCACACATGAAAATGGAATGAGCTGAGGCGCGATGCCACTGTGCTGCTTTTTGATGAATATTGAGCCAAATTCTGGTTGGCTCGGAGTCATAAACACAAGGACACTCATGAATAATTGATCTGAGAGTTTACGAGTTTGAAACCAACACAGTCAGACTCGTAAATGGGTAAATCGCACTCAAGTTGATTTGGGGATGACTAGTGCAACCAGATGGCCACCGCGGTGAGTTGGCGTCGCATTTTATCAGGTCTCATTAGGGCAGTGGACTGGGTCAAAACGAACATCCGCTAATATGGCCAAACAGGAGGAAGAAATCTGGTATTTATTAGGTGAATCATGCTCCAAGTTTTAGTTTCCAACAGGGATCAGGATGATAGAGCTTGTTTTGTGGTCTGGAAATGGCTTCATACTTCACTAGTTTTGCAACAATTTTCTGGTAAAATCACAGCCAATAAACGTAATGTTTTTTTTATTCGGACTATAGTGCCCTGTGCTATGAGATGATTGTCTCCATCTATTTGAATCATATAATTAAAGCTGGAGTACCCTTAATGTGGTTAGAAAACATTTTATCTTGTACATACTGAGAGCTGATTGGCTGAAAAACTGATCTAAAGAATTGACAAAGTGACAAAATACATGTAAGTGGAAACTAGTAATAAAACAGTTTTTTCCAAGTGGGGAGCGAGTTACATGGATTTGATTACATATTTATTGTTTTTGTGGTACTGGTATTTTTGTGGTTTGGAAGTTTTGAATGAATGGAAAGTTGATATCTGGTTTGAGCTATTTTTTATATTTTTGGTGCTGATTAGGCCGTCTAATTTGTAAATTTCTTTATTTAAGAATGGAATTAATAAGATTTTTTTCTTCATCCTGCTCTTGTTATTTTTTTAATGGAGTGTAATACTGTAGTACTGTTGGATTGTTGTGGTATTGTGTTGCATTACCATGAAAACATTTAGCAAATAAAATAATAATTGATAACCAAAAATGACCTATTCACATGTGCCGCTGTAGAACAGTCAAACACAGTAATACCAAGTTTAAACATTTCTTTTGCATGAAGCCTTTCCAGCTGAGCTCTAGAGTTATTTATGTTTTCTCACGAACTTTAATTTAAGTGAAATGCGGATTATCCTACTTCCTACCTAATTCCTATTTCAAAGGACATTTTCTCTCTCCGTGTCAGAGGAGGAAAGAGTGGATCGCCTATAAGCAAAAATATTCTTCAAAGCGGCTTCACTACTGCTGCAGCATTAAGTGGCAATGCTCCAAACTCCTTAATAAAACTTGCAACAAATAAATCTGAGAGGTTCTATAAGGATTCTACACACACACACACACACACGCACACACACACACACACGCACAAACACACACACGCACAACTTCTCTTCAGGAAAAGGACGAGGCAGACGAGAATGGGAAATGTTACAAAGACTTACGGAGGCTTTTACCAGTGAACATCGGCCCCTCAGATACATGCCAGGAGTGAAATCATTTCTCTGTCTATTATACCTTGAAATAAAACCCAAAAAAAAGCCTGTCAAAACAGCCTTAAATATTCCTCCAAGTAAAAATAAATAAATACATGATTAATCAAATGTTATTTGATATTGCTGCTTAATACCACACTGTAACTCGGTTATGCACCTTATACCAGTAATTTGAACATTCTCCATCTGCTGCTAAATTATATGGTATCCATATCCATTGTGACTTAGGACTGATACTATGTTAGTAACAATTTATTGAACTGTATTTTAATATTCAAATTATGTGATTGTTTTATTAACGACTACAGATGGAAAATATGGTTCAAAATCTGGTGCAGTCATATTTTTTATGTAACTGCACATTGTCCTTAAAGGAGCAATACCCGTTTCTGCAAGGTTTTAACGTTTAGCACCGACCCCAACTCGCTCACAGGCTTCTCATTTCCGACTTTAAAAGTCAAAATTACGACTTTAAAAGTCAAAATTTCGACTTTAAAAGTCAAAATTACGACTTTAAAAGTCAAAATTTTGACTTTAAAAGTCAAAATTTCGACTTTAAAAGTCAAAATTACGAGTTTTCAACTGCGCATGTGCAGTTGAAAACTCGTATGTGTTGTTGGCTGGAACGGTCTCTGGTCATCCCTGTTATAGATCCATGACCATGGGTCATCCTCTACCTGCAGATTATGTGAAGATTTTGCCTACAGACAGTGACCACATCCATGAAGTAGCAGCAATAATGTTGTGGTAGTAATCGCGTTAAAATGCAAACGGTCTCTCCGTTTATGATTAGAATCTGCTTCAGAAGCCTCTATTTAATTTATCCTAAACGGACTGTGGAAGATTAATAATAAAACACATGTGGCTGTTCAAAGTCATTGAGCATCAACTGGTGACGTCTGGTCAGTATCACGGCTATCGATGGATGCACCAGAAATGCAGTGAATATTATTGTGACTGACAGAGAGACCGTTCGAGATTACAGGACAGTGAGGGAGGTCCGCAGACAGAGGCAGGAGAACCACAGACAGAGGCAGGAGAACCACAGACAGAGGCAGGAGAACCACAGACAGAGGCAGGAGAACCACAGACAGAGGCAGGAGAACCACAGACAGAGGCAGGAGAACCACAGTCACGGGCACTGACATTATTACCCTTTTGGAATTGCGATCAGTGCATTGAAGAGTATGTGACGTGTTTGCGTGCACGCGGGGGTGAGCTGATGGAGCGAGCGTGTGGTAAAGTTGTTGGCGTATGAGCAAGAACACAGAGACATACAGGGAATAAGTACTTTGTCTGATTATTTTATTGTGACAAAATAAAGCCCACGACTCTTTTAGCAACAAACCGGAGAAATAACTCCGCAGATAACAGTGAGGGTCTTTGAAAAGGGTTAGAAATAGATAAACCCATTATAGATGCATGAATAAAACCCCGTACTCAACACGTAGAAAGCGCATCCTTTCAGCCGTGGAAAGACTCGCTCCGTGTGGACCCCTCTCAGCGTCATCGTCTGGTCAGAGTGGTTTACAGCAGATTGGATTGGAATGTCTCGATGGCTCATTTTCCTTTGATTTATTATAAAAACGTATTGCTCACATTATTTGTTACTATGTCGAAATAAGAAGTCGTTTGATTTAAATGTTGTATATATGTAAATTGAATTTAACATAAATAAATAAAAAGACAGCTCCTCCCTGCGTCCTACGACCGCGGTCTGGGGCTTAAACAGGAACGTTTTACAGAATCAATCAAACAACATTATTTCTGGCTACTTCAAGGATGCAGTGGTCACTGTAGGCAATATCTTCACATAATCTGCAGGTGAAGGACGTCCAGACACCGTTCCAGACAACAACACATACGAGTTTTCAACTGCACATGCGCAGATGAAAACTCGTAATTTTGACTTTTAAAGTTGAAATTTTGACTTTTAAAGTCGTAATTTTGACTTTTAAACTCAAAATTTTGACTTTCTGTATGCTGTTTTTTTTTTTTACATGGCGGAAACGGGCTTCCATAGCTAACAAAATATAAAACAAAGATTACAGCTAGTTCCGCGTCCGAATGTAATCCGAGCATACATGTAGATAGTCCGAGGCGGTCCCGCAGCTCTCTCCCACAGACAAGTCTCTCCAGAGGATACGATGTAAGCTAGCTATGTTCACCAGGGCTTGATTTCTTCTTTGAAGATTTTTTCGCTTTAATTCCCTCTTCTCTTCCTCACTGTTGTGTTGTTTGGGCTGTTTTGCTGTGTCTGCAATTACAGCCAGAGGAGTTATAGCCTATTCTGCTAACATGCTACTGTGTTTAGCAGCGCTGTAGACGCTAGAGGACGCAGCCTCGTTCTGTGATTGGAGGAGAACGAAGTTTCTACTCAGCACTTTTATACGGCCTGAATTCATACACAAGCTGAATCAATGAGCTCAAGTTTTAAATTAAATTACGGATTATAATACAACTTTTATGTAGTAATTAGCATTTTTATTAACTCATTAAAGCTGCACTAACTGACTTTATTTTTGTATTCATTACGAAAATGCTATCCATGTCCATGTAGTGCATTGGGATATACGTCCTTTTGACGAAAAAGTAGCACAGATTTGTGCTGGCGTGACATTATACTTTAGATCGAGTTTTGATGAAACAAGGAAGAGATGTGTTTCGGGTCGGAGATTGTGACCAATCACAGCGGACCAATAGCCCCCACTTTCGTGAGAAATCTACAGGTCCGTTAGCATAGACGGCTGAGTTAGCACAACAAGACGAGGAGCTAACCTGAAGATTCCTCGTCTTCATCACCGGTTACTGCTTACACAGCGAGACAGCCATCCAAAAGAAAGTCTCGTTCCTCCGCGCTTCCCGGTTCTATCGTTCTATGGTCACGCCATCCAAGTGCAAATCCATATCCATGTATTATCCATATTGGGAGACACTAGCTCCGTCCCAACAGTGGGTGTGTGTGGGGGGCGATAGCTTCGTGGGTGCGGGGAGGGGAGCAGAAAGAGAGAGGCCAGCTTTAATAAAAAAATCGGGCATCTTTATTATAGCAAAAAATTATAGCATCTTTTATAAGTTAAACGTAAATTTAAACTTGCTTTGCTGAAGATGCTGCACATTTAAGGTTGACATCAAGAGCTGCTTTTCAACATCTGTATTGTAGAAGAACAACATTAACATTCAACACAAATGCTTGTTGTGCCATTTGCCTTTTCAGACTGCGTTACGGCACTGTTGTCTGCTGAGGGCCTGTCACATTTGTTTCGTTTGTGAAATATGTGGGATAAATATGACAAAAAACTGTGTTGTTTGTTTGATGGGGAACAGGCAAACTCTGCACGAAAGGCCAGTCCAGGAATCGTCATGTAACTTCCAAGCGTGCCTCAGCCTCCGTCTCGCCATTGGCTGATGTCACAGTGATTTGGCAAAACACCCAGAGCGATAGTAGAAGCAGGTAGAGAGGACACAGAAATAACTGTGCTCAGAATACATTAGAACAGATCTAAAATACAAAAAGGAAAGTAAAAAATCATTCAAATTCAAAGAAAATCTTCTATATTTCTAAATGAGCACAATGTGACAACTTTAAACCATGTAAATCTGTTATTGCAGAGTAATAACAGCGTTCTGAGTTGCCTTGTGTATGAACTGTGCTATACAAATAAACTAGAATTACGTGTCTGTTTACATTAACCAGAATAACACTGGTGTGAAGACTTCTGACCTGTTCCAGACACTTCCCGCTCGTATTACCATATTGTGCATCATTTACAATTGTTTGATGAATTGTATTTACATTTTCTTAAAGTAATTTTGAGGTTTCAACAAAATCTGAAGCTGAAGTGTGGAGACCGTCAGAATTTTCCATCAACCATTTTACCATAACAAGCAGGACATTCACACGGCTCAAATATTGGTTGGAAAGATTTGATCAGTATTAAAACCTCAATTATTTGATCAATTGATTAATCAAATTCAATGCAAATATCAATATTATCATAGGAAAAAACATACGTAAAATAGTTCAAATTTACTGAAAGTAGTTTTAAATCACCAAGAAATGTGTTTTATGGTGTAAAAATATATTGATGTGTTAGAATAATAAGGACATGAAGACAATATTACTTCATTAGAGAGAAAAAGTGTTTGAATTAATAAAAAGTTTTTGTATTTCATGTTCTGTTTCTTCTTTTGCTCCCTGTATATCTATGGCTGTATATTGTTAGTAATTCTGTTTTTTTCCAGCATTGAACCCCCCCTCCATCTCATACCTCATGTTCCCTTCCCATCTGTAAATATCCACTTCATGTTTCTCATTTTGCCTCTTCTATCTTCAACTGCAGATTGTTAGTGATGCTTATTTCTATCATCAGTTCTCTTCACATCTGCAAATGTGAAGAGATCGGTATATCTGTTTCATTAATTCTCTTTTTTACTGTATATTTGTACGACTGCAAAATAATACTAACAATAAAAGGGTTTATGAGGGCTGGATTGTGAACACTTCTTGGTCAGGACACCCTTTGAAAAAATATATTTGAATCTTTTTCCTGGTTAAGATAAAGGATGAATAAAAAAAAAGAGCTATACTAACAATATATTTTCTCAATTATCAAGACAGAGAAGTCAAAACATTGTTCACACTGCTTGGTACGAAATCCACTCTTCTGCACCATATCATCAAGCTAAATCACACACATATGAAAGAACATCACTTCTTACATCTAAAGTATGTATGTGTTGTTTCACTTTGAAGACGACTGTGCAGACATTCCCAACTCCAGCCTGAGATGACGGCATTGCGTCTTTGGCAGTGACTTGCGGCTGCGCCAGGAGCAGAGACGACGAGAGACGAGGCCACAGGAGCTAAGACCAGCAGGGAAGTTACCGGCACATGTATAATGCAGCTGTTTATGTTTTGTTGTGCAGTAAATGAGTCTATATTCTGTCTGTGAGCTAAGAAACAAGAGCCAGCCTCCCCCCACAGAGCTAAGATGAAAAGGTAACATGTTTGCCAACCCACAGGGATGAGGAGAAAGACACAGAAAAATCATCAGCAGGTTTTGATCAAGGTGTGTATAGGTTCAAGACACCCACGACCAAGAAATCAAAGTTAAATGCCGCAGAGACACATTTTGGTTTCTTTATTGTTTCTCAGCTGTAGCCACAGGTCACATCTGAGAGTTCACTGCTATTAGTTACATTTACTTAGAAATTCTTTTGTTCATTTACTCCAGCAACAGACAAAACAGGGGGAGCAACAGAGACCACGCTTTTATGCTCCATTTCCGTTCAGACATCATGAAGACACGACTATTTATAGTTGAAAGCTTTGCACAACATTTTAAAGGTAAAAAAACGACCTATAATTCTGTTTGAAATATTGCACGGTGAGATTTGAGTGCCATCCCGTTTCTCGCTTTCTCTCACAGATCTGCGGTCGTGTGCACTCACCGCTTTGAAGTCTTCGGGTCGGCATTCTGTCCCGTGGAAGTGGCAGGCGAGCAGCATCTCACTGATGTCGTGTCCCGTGCGGTCGTAGAACTCCCTCATGTTGAAGGGACGTGGTTTAAAGTTGTGGAAGTCGGTTTTGGCCTTCAGACTCTCCAACACACTCTCCTCCACAAGGTGCACGTCCCGGATCTCGTATCTGGCAACGCAACGAGACAAAGATCACTACGCAGATCGTTTCATGAAAATGTTCTACAAATCCTCCCATAACCTTTTGAGTTTTGTTTCTCACAGGCAAACAGTAATTGGCAATTCTACAATGTTTATGTTGTGTCACTGAGCACCAAATATCTTTGCTCATTTTTTTATTTTATTTTTTTATTGTTGAAAATACAGACAAACGTATGAGTGATTGGTGAGTACTTTAGAGTATATGATTGGAATATATTGGTCTTGAATTTTCATCCCCACAGCACGGAGACAGCACTTGAAGAATCTATCAACCTCCTCCTCGCAGCTAAGTCCAGTTCCATCTCCATCTTCCTCCTCTTTGACCTCTCCGGCAGAATTGATGCCGTGGACCATACCATGTTCTCCACCAGCTACAGTCCGTTGGCATCTTCCTACCTCTCTGAACACCACCATTATCTCGTCGTAATTTACAGTAAATCTTTTGTCCCCATCGGTGTTCCCCACGGCTCGATGCTTGCCCCCTAGTCTTCATCATCTATCAATCAATCAATCAACTTTTATTTGTATAGCGCCTTTCCAACACAAGGCAACTCAAAGCGCATCACAACCCACATCATATCAAACAAATCAGTAACATTAAAACATAAAAGATCTACATGCTTTCCCTTGGCCACATCATCTTGGACTCCACTTTCACTGTTATGCCGACGCTTATGTTTTTTCTCTCCACTATCTGCTTGTCTGAAATTAAGGGTTAGGGACCACACTTTCCATGCAAATAACACATGAACCTTATCCTGTTATCTTGTTTTAACCTTCATGGCATCGCCTGTTCAACCCTAAACCAATCTTCTTACAATCTACTTAAGAAATCTAAAGTCTCGCCTTCTTTCCTCCAGACTCAACTACTGTAAGAGCCTTCTCTACGGCGTCCAATCTAAGTACTAACCAGATCCCACGCTGCTCTAACAACTAGGTATGACTGTACCGCAGGCTATAAAAAGTTTGAGTGGCAGGCTATAAAAAGTTGGCATTTGGATAAGAGACGTCAATTCTGCTGTGTCCATTCTGGTCGTAAGTGGAAGCCTCTCAGCCTCAATGCAACATGTTGCCATGTTTTCAATGTTTTGCATTGTTTTACGTACTTTCATTGAAAGCAATTTCAATTATTTGGAAACAAAACATTAGTTTTATAGTGTATAGTATTGTGTATAATGGTAACTGTCCTGGATGGTATTAAAACTTCATGATGATGATGCATCTATATCCATAGAAATAACCAGTAAATGGCAAATTCTGTTTTCATATTATCTTGAGTGCCTCTTTATATAATTGACGTGTGTAATGAATGTAATGAACTCTAGTGAAAGGAAGTACTTAACAGCACTTTTATGCAACTGAAATCCAATTATTTAATGTTTTTGCAATGTTTACCTCCACCTGTTTTGTTGATACTAGATAACATTGGACCCTGAACTATCAGCAATAGGATTTTTCAGTTTATTTATCAGAGCATTGCTGTGCGGAAAAAGCAGAATTGGCCAAATGCATTAGCTGTGGCCTGGGCGCGATCCCTGTCTTTCACTAATCTCACAAATGTTGAAGCATTGACTGGACCCAACAAAGAGCCAGTCACTTATTTTGTTCCAGAATGAAAATGTAGCACCTCTTAAGAGTCGTGTTTTCATGAATGATCTCCTTAGCCGCACAGGTCGCCTGAGTCTGTTTATATTTTATTCTTTTAATTTGTCTGAATGTTTTGTCAGGTCTCATTCATCAAGCATGAATTAAAAATTTTTTAAATAAACCTGACTAAAGCCACAGTACTTTTACTTTTGATATAGGAATTGTGAATGGGTTAAAAGAATTAAAAGTTGAAATAAAAAATGTAAGTAAGAGTAGCAAAAGTTGTTGCCGATTCTCCTCCTGGAATAGTCCCACAATATAGAAACTGTATTTGCCATGCTGTGCTAATGTACTGTATAGACCAGGAGTGGCCAATTATTTTCTTTGAGACACTTTGGGATATCGTCTTAGTGTGAAAGGCTGGACTTGTTTTCCTACGGTTTATTTTTTTATTTTTTATTTTTTCAGTATTCTAAAATAATATGTATATATATATATATATATACATACATACATGCTGTACATCACTTTACAAACTATTTACACAAACGAAGATATCCAGTGTTTTCTTTGTGTTTGTGGACATTTTTCAAATTATCACTAATAACAATTTAGGTTCATTAACGAGAACAGAGCATGGAAATGTGAATCAGGCCGTATGTCTGTCTGGTATAGACACTAAATGGCTATTAAAGCTGGAGTACCTAACTTGTTTTGGTTTCTTCAACACAATTTTTTTGTCTCAACAGAAAGATTCTAGTTTAAGTAACATTTTGTGAACCAATCATACCACAACACGCTAAAAACATGTTCCCTTTTACATACTGACAGCTGATTGGCTGAGTGAAGACTGGTACTCTACAGCTGATGTAAAGATGTGATAGAGGACATAAATACATGCATGTGAAACAGTTGTCAGTTTTCGTGCTGTCCTAAGAAACCTGATGTACATATTTATTTGTCGACAGAATCAATGTCAGAATGTGATCATAATGAGCCTGACCAACATCAGAATCAGTGCCACACGCTATCAGTCTGAACTGTGGCGTCACTGATACAATAGTCTGCTGTAATCATGTATGCTTATTTTTATGATTATTATTTTTGTTTTTGTGTGATGTCTTTCTTATCTGGACCTCGTGTCTGTAATAAAGTTTAATAAAAATAATAATATAGTAATGGAAACAGATAATTTTGAGAGCGAGGAAAAATTGACATGTATTTTTTAACCTACAGCAAAGATGAGAGAACTTGTCCTGGAGGTGTGCCTTACTTATCTCCATATGGTTAACGTCACATAAAGACAGATAGAACGGCCTTCTGCAGTGTGTGTAAGTCTGCGCAGCCAAATGCCAGGGTCATAATGATGAGCTCAGAACAGACTCGCTCCTTTGAGGCTGAAGCCAAACATCTAAAGTTTGAGTCGATCAATGCTTCAACTGCGTGATATATTGAGCCCTTTAAAGAAGCTGGCCGTGGTCTTTTCCTGATGACAGCTCTATTTGTCAGAGAGTTTTACAACATATTGCTTCAATTGACCAGGTCATAATCAATAAAACGTTTTTTTTGCTAATAAGAATTTGATTTGTTGATGTGAGTTTTAATGACTTTGGCTTGATATAGAGAACGGATGAAGTGGAAAGTGAGTTTGCAGTAAAATAAAAGTTTTGTTGCATGAGAAGTTATTACTCTCCATCGTTAATGTGGTTGTCACGACCTGTTGCGGGTGGGGTGATTTTGGGGATGCAAGAAAGCAATTCAAATATATTGCAGTAAGTAATTAAGGCTGTGAAATGTTAGGTTTGAAAAAGGGAGCGTTTATGGTAAATCTTCAGAGGCTTGGAGCACTTCTGAATTCAACATTAGCGGCTTAAAAATTGAGTCAGCATACAATAATAGTTACAGTACATGTAGTATACAGTGTAATTATATCAAAGAGGAAATAGTATGCCTTATATTTAGCCATTACAAAATACAACAATACTATTCACTTTGCCATTTCATGTCTTAGAATGTGAGAGAATATCTTAAGTCAAATATATGAGGAAACAAGTATGAAGGGTTAAAAATGATTTCCGTCTGCAACTTCCAATGCTACCACCAGAGGGAGGAGTTGAGATTTGTTTTTGTTTTTTCTCTCCAAATTTGATTATTACAATATGAAAGCACAGATATGAGATTGTAAATAATGTAATTTCACCTCAAATATTACCAAAACTAATATATGGGCAATTATTTTGTCATAAAAGCTAAAAAAAACTGCTCCGATTGTGACGTCATAGTGGTACAATGACATCATACTATTATAGGACTGAGACAGGAGCTTTCAGACAGAGTTACATGTTTGTGCCAGAAGTGTCTGATTAATATTAATTTCAGGTAATGGGGAAAGAAAGATTAACCTCTTGATAAATGTGGTTCTATATTCCACTCTTGAATAGACCAAGAATATTTAGTCGTAAACTAAACTGTGGATAATTTCAGACAAATCCAATTTTTTTGCTACATTTAACATAGACATTACAACGGGTAAATAAGACTCATGTGTGTAAATGATACCAATACAATACAAAACAATATTTAAGAGACTGAGGAGAGGAATTGTGTCACTGTTTTTCCTTCAGTGGACAAATGTGCCAAAAAGCCACTTATGTGATCAAGTCCCCAGACAGCGCTGCAGGCTCAGAGCAGGCTGACACTGGAGCAGCTAAACTCTCCACCACAAGACATTTCTCAGACCGGCGAGCCCCGACATGAGCACAGCGCCCACAGTCTTAAATGGGTTTCATGCCAAAAGCTATTCCTCTTTTGGCTGGAGGTAAAGGAGCGAATGTGGTGCTGCTGCTGCTGCTGTTACTGCTGCAGCCTCAGTCCTGCCAGTGGAGGATGGATAATGAGCTCTAAAAAGTCAGTGAGAGAGAAAGGGAGAATGCCTGCCCTTGTTTTGGATTCTAGAGAGTTTGGGATACGCCTACAGTTAGACCTCTTTGGACCAGTTGGAGATACTTGTGTGCTCCTTTAGTAATGATTAAAAATAGAAATAGGACAAGACCTTTCATCACCTGCATGTCTATAGCTCCAACAGTGTCACTGGAACTCACAGTTAGACCACTGTGGGCTTATAACTGTCATGGTGTGGATTTTATTTTGACATCGTTTTCTGTAATTTGGTCCTGTTTTCCCCTGTCTTGATTGTCTGCCCCGCCCTGATGTGTTTCACCTGTGTCTGTGTCTATATGTACCCTGTGCTTCTCTCCTCTTGTTGCTGGTCCATTGTATTGTCAACGTCTGTCTTGTTATGTCAAGTTCTGTCCTGGTTACTTTGGTTTTTGGAGTTCTGTTTTTTGCCTTGGACTTTATTTTATTAAATCATTTTCCCACCACCTGACAGAATGGACCAGCCCCACAAATGGACTCAGCGGAATGCCTTTCTTGCCACACCTGCTCCCTGTTCTTTGCCACCGGTCAGGTTTTTATTTTACTTTATGCCTCGCCTTCACTTCACTGCCTACCTCGACCCGTTACCTGTAACCACCGCCAGGCTTGAAACTCCGTCTGGGGTACTTATCTGTCCTGCACCACCGCCGGGCATGGTTCTCCGTCCGGGGTGGTCCTCTGTTCCCATCCCACCACGTGACAGAATGGACCAACAAAATCCACACCATGACAGTACCTCGTGGACTGGGAGGGGTACGGGCCGGAGCGTTCTTGGGTCTCTCCTTCCCTGATTCTGGACCCGGGCCTTATCTGAGTTCCACCGTGCTCACCCTGACAAGCCTGGCCGTCCGCCTGGTGGCGTCCTTTGAGAGGAGGGGGGGGGGGGGGTGGAGGGGGGTGCTGCTGTCACGATCCGGTCCAGTCCACTCCACCTTTTCCCGGTCCTCCTGCCTCTGCCACTCTACTCACCTGGATCTCGTCAGGTCATCAACTGCAGTACAAGAGGAGCAGCTCTGCAGCCACTCTTTGTTTGTTTGTCTACTTGCATATTTTTTTCCCGTTGCTGCCTACCTATCACGTCTGCCTGTTATTCCTGTCTTGACTTTTGTAATACATATTTTGGAATCCAATTCTGTCTGCATTTTGAGTCCTTTTCTTCAATTGTGACAATAACTTGTGTAAAAGTTAATTTATAATGAATGGTTCATTTGAAATGACAGATTAGAACAATATTGGAAAGGCTTATAAATGGCTTAGATATTTTATTTAATTTTTTGAAAGGCCAGATGGCTTAGTGCCACAAAAATAAATGTTCACCCCCTCTTGAGATTTTTCAAATGTACTTCCAAATACAAAATGTCGCAGATGCTAGAATACATTTGTTCTATTGCAAATTAAATAATTCAATGTTCTCATGAGATTTCAATTTTAGATAATTGTTCTATACTAAAGTGTAAGGGAGCCCTCTGAAATGCATGTTTAATCCAATGGTCCATTACAAAGAAAGACTTATGTAAAACTCTACTTGTAGAAAATAAAAACTCATTCACTTGGGTAGCTGAAGAAAGGCATACGCTTATAGATTTAATTGATACACAGATGTTGCATCAAGTGTAATAAAGCAGGAGTCATGATGTAACCATTGCCAGACCATGCCTTTGAATGCCAATAGGTGAAATAAGTGGCGGCACTATGAAGAGATGAGATGACCATTAAATCCCAAACCGAGAGTGTGGAGGAGGGAGGTCACTTGTTCGGTACCTCTGGTTGAGCAGGGCCAGCAGTTCTCCAGCGTGGTACAGGTCGTTGCGCGTCACAGAGCTGAAGCGGAACGCGTTCAGGTTACAGAAAGTCACGGCTGGAAACGTCATAGTCGGAGTCGTAATTTCGTCCAGTTTCGTCACGTGTGGATACTCGAGGTAGAAGTGAATCCTGTCCACGCACACGTAAAGTAAAAATGTCAAAGAGCCGAGGAAAAACAGCAACCACAAGCAGCGCTTAACGCAGAAGCGCTCGTACGTGAAGATGTGCGAGATCCCGTGTAAAGTGGAGCTGTGAGCGAAAACTTCCAGAGACGGAGGCTCGTGGTTCGGGTCCATCTCCTCCGGATCCACTTTCAGATCCATCTTGTGTTTGGTCTCGGAGACTTAGAGGGACTACACAGCAGCAGTTAGCGTCAGGACGCGTGACAAGTGCATCATTCACCTGTGGCACACTCCATTCTCCACGAGCAGGTGCAGAGGCGCAGATAACCACAGGGAGCGTGCGCAAGGAGCCATCCCTCACGCGCACATCTCACGCACAGCCCGGAGCCACGAGGACCCGTGTCCGCGCGCTCCTTCACGCACAAACTACTGCCTCGTGACGACGCTTCTGGGGGTCACGTGGCGCGTCACTCGCACACTCGTCTCTCCGTGAGACAGAGCGTTCATCCGGATGACTGGCACCGTCAGTGCCCGCGCGTGTAGTGATGCTTTCGTGAGCGGCTCCTCTCTGTCCTCTCTCTCCTCAGCGTCAGCGGCGGTGCGTGCGTGGCGCGTCTGTCTGACAAATTATGTGTAAAGTCAGTGAGGAGTCTTCTTTCAGCACAGACTCAAGAACTGAAGCTTTGTAGAAATTAACTTCGTTTCTATTCGTGTTTTATGCCATGTTGTTTCATTGCCTTTTACTTATGCCCTGGAGCAAGATAATACAAGGTTAATGTTAAGGGTTAAGGTACACTTAATTCATCCCCATATTGGAAAATCCTCTGCATTTGACCCATCTCTGTCAGGAGAAGTGGACAAGTACAGCGCCTTGGGACCATCTCCTATTGTACATGTTGTTTTAGTTATAGGGGAAACCGGAGAACCCAGAGGAAACCTACGTAGACACAGGGACAAGTGCAAACTCCCTGTTCCAACTGGAATTCAAACCCAGGACCTGCTGGGGCTACAGTGGCTCAGTTGGTAGAGCATGAATAATTGAATGAATACATTATTTGCTGAGAAGCAAGAGTGCTAACCAATGTGTAGCTTAATAAAGAAACAAAGTATAAAAAGTCTAAACATATAACATAAAATATAAATACACAGATTACACAGTTGCTTCCACTGCCCAAAACATGAAGTATTATAACAAGAGGGCTTGTCGAGTCAGACAACCATGACCACAGGTCAAATTTCTAATGAAAATCAGTTGTGGTCTGATAAGGGGCATTGTGGTCATTATATGACAATATGCAAGAAATTCAACTTAGAGATACTTATTATATATAAATAAAACATGCCTTTTATATCATGTCTTTTAAATCCTTCATTTAAAATTACAGCACGCATGTTAAAGCTGGGATACCTAACATTAAAACCCCAAATTCATCTGTAATTTGCAAACAGATTTCATGAATCTTTTGCCTCTGTCACATCTTTAGTTCAGATTTTTTCAGATAGAACCTTGTAAAAGAAAGTACCACCCTCACTCAGCCCGTAGCTCAAAGTGTCAATTAAAGTGACTCACTTTCTAATGCAGAAGAGTGGGTGCAGGCGGCATGTTGTGGTCTGATTTGTTCACTACGTTACATTTTTACCAGACTCTCTCTTCGTTGGGGCAATCAAAATGTATTATTTATGGGGGGGTAAAGCTACTGTAGGTACCCCAGCTTTAAATGTCTATCATAAATGCATTAGCGTTGATTTTCATGCTCTATCCGTCACTATACAACTAATGGGAGATCTTAATGGGTATTAATATAAGTGCACTTTACCTTATACTTGTTCAAAGTATATTTAATTATGTAATTTCACTTAAGGCTTCTTTGTGAGGAACATGAATCACTTGGTTTGAACGGTTTCCAAATCTCTGTGGAGGAAACGCACCATACTGCAGTTTGTGTCACATAGACAAATGCACACGACTGATTTAAAAATAAAAAAACAAAAGAATAGACTGCCATATTCGATGTTTTAATTACATTAGTGCTACATCAATCAGCCCCGGGAGCTTTTTTAACAACTCCACTCCAAAGGTCCATCCATCATCTCAGCCAAAAACTGCAAATAATGATGTGTGCTTCGTGTCGACAGGGCCATAAATAAACAATGGCATTTGGTCCCCAACTGGACAGAGGGTGAAAAATGCATTAAGCAGCGACAGCAGGAGAGCCAATGTTTATGTGCAAAATATTTATAATGGCTTGTCCTCAAAAATACATGATTCCCTTTAACACAACATCAAAATGATACTGACATTCACACATCGTCATATCATTTATGCAGCGTCAGACATATAAGGTATTTGGCTTAGCAGGTTCTGCTAAAAACACAGACCCTTCTAAGCCTTAAACATTAAGACGACATAATGAACTTGTTACATTTATTTAACGTCAACAAGTGTCTCTGAGTTTAGTTTTAATATTGAGAAGGATTTGTGCAATATTGCATTAAAGTATGATCCAGGAAAACAATAGTTGGCTCAGCACATTGAGACTTTTAAAATAAATTTTCACCAAAATAAAAAGTTTATATATTGTGCAGGCTAATGGAAGTAAAATGTAAAAAGTTAATTATTGAATTACGATGCTGTTTTTATAACATGTAAGTTAGGATCTGACTACTCTTGGGCTGTGAGTTCTGTAACTAAAGATTATTTTGATTTTCAATCAATCCAGCAAATTAAATATATTTGCTCTTAATTAAACACCACCAACATCATTTTAAACAACCCATTCCTAACTTCCTTGACTTTTTTGTTATTGCTCTATCTGAGTATTAAAGCAAATTTCACAGCACATATATAATGTCGGAGTTTGGATAAGGAGCAGTTAACAATGACAGTGTGTATGACTTGTTTGTCGTTACCGTCCCGTAGTAGCAATTCATGAGGGCCAGGGGAAACATTCTGGTTTATGCATAGTATATTTCCTGTTGTTTACAAGGAAGGAGAACAAAAGTCATGAAATGTGGTGTACTCACTGGTCAGTCTCTGTTCAAACCATAGGTCAAACCCATAGTAAGCGATCGCTGTCCATGGTGCTGCCGCATCAAGTGCCTGCAGTTCCCCCTTCGTGCGGCGGGGGCAGCAGAGCGCTCCGCTGTGTGTTCATAAACACGAGTGCGTGACCACGTGCTCACAGACATAAAGATGGCGGCGCCCGCAGTGGCTGCAGCAGCAGCAGAAGTCCTGTGCGGAGGCTCCATGCGGTCTCTGTCCGTCCTCTCTGCCCGACACTCCCGCTGCATGACCCCCCTGCAGAGCAGGACGTATGTCGCCTCTACTCCCAGGAACGGTACGGAAAAAGGTGCACTAGATGTTAAAAAACATGTCCAGAGCATCAGCTCACCATTAAAACACATCTCATTTTAAGTTGTCAACAAGTTTTTATCTCTTGTCATCTTGTTCGCAAACATAACGCTGCGTTGTTTTGCAAAAGAATGGTCATGTGTATGGTTCTGACAAGTTCGACACGTACCTTTTGTGTTACGTAACTTACGTCAGACGGCTGTGGTAATGGCTAAAGAGGTGCTCAAGGGCTGGAAGATCGTGCATAGCTTCTGAAATAAAGTCAAACGGATGAAGAAAAGGATATATTAGACTTTGTTTTGGTGGTGATGGTTTTGGGTTTTTTAGTATTTTATTTGTTGTCTGTCTCATCTTTTACCCATTTTGTTGCATAACTGCATTTGTTTGTTTAATGACTTAATTGGGTCAGGGCCTTCAGCAATCACGATGAGACACGTAAATTTGAACATTTACATTAGCAGTTTTTAATTGTTTAAGATGATTGTTGAGCTTGTGTTAATAATTACACTAGTCGTGACAAAAGTATATAAATTAAAACGTAATTTAAATCACGTCATGTACATCTTTATACATTCCTTAATCCAGCCATTCCCAAACTCAGTAACACCGAGGCCCCCTTAAAAATCTGACGGGTCTGCGTGGCCCCCCAAAATAATAACCAAGAAGACAACATTAAGAATAGGCTCTTCTGGTTATTTTATTTTGGGGAAATAGCCTCTGCTACAAACATTGTAATACAAAAATGATTACAGTGGATTATTCAAGTCAAATAATGAACACAAATATTTTAATATTGCAAACAAAACATTATAAATGTAACATTAAATAATTATGATTTTAATGACTCCGCGGCCCCTGCAGTACCCTCGCGGCCACCAGGGGGCCGCCGGACCCACTTTGGGAGACACTGCCTTAATCTATACTTTTTAATTTCTTTGCACATAGAGCCAAAGCAATTTCCTACTTTGAGTTCTTGTTACTCGCATGGCAATGGTATTGTGACGTGTTTGCTGCTTGTACTGAATCCCCACTGTAGACTAAAGTGTTTAATATCATCTTTTTAGACGCTAAGTTCCGCCTGGATGAGAAGACGGCTCACAGCAGTCTTGACCTGTTCAAGAAAGACACCGCTGTGATCTACCGCATCCTGGGACTGGACCCGGCTCAGGTGCGACATAACCCCGAGCGCTTCCGGGACTGGGCTGTGGTCTTTGGTGACGAGAAGATCAGCAGCGGGAGGCATTACTGGGAGGTCACTGTCAAGAAGTCCCAGGAGTTTCGCGTCGGCGTAGCGGAGGCGCTAATGTCCCGGGACGAATGCGTGGGCACCAACCACTCCTCCTGGGTCTTTGGCTACGCGCAGAGGAAGTGGTTTGCCATGATGAACAATAAGACTGTGCCTGTGACGCTGGTGGGGAAGCCGGAGCGCGTGGGCATCCTGCTGGATTATGAAGGGGGGGTGCTGGCGCTGGTGGATGTGGAGACCGGCAGTGTCATTTACAGCATCAAAGTGAAGTTTCAGGGAGAGTTGTGCCCCGCGTTCGGACTGTGGGACGGGGAGCTCCTCACGCACAGCGGCCTGGAGGAGCCGGCCGGTCTGAAGTGCCGTGACCTCTGAGCTGTAGAGCATAATGCAGCTGAAATATGTGCAGTTATTTGTAAATGTGTGTGAGAGTTTGGGAGAATATCAAATCTATAGGGCACAAGAACAAACTATAACTGATGACTAAGCGACTTTTGCTCATAAAATGAATTGTAATTTGAATGTTTACTACACTATATCAATTCTAACACTAACCCCCCCCCCCCCTTAAATGATTTCTGGCCTTATGTGGCTGGGAGTGGATTCCCTTTACTGAGCAATGATCTACAAATGCCATTAGTTTTCAAAACCATTTCCATGTCTGTTTTTCACAAAGGTGCTTTTGTTTTGTGTGTACTCTAGTATTTTTCTTATGTACTGAAGTGTGTTGTGCTAATTGCCAAGTCTGAGCATGTGCCCTATTATCATGCGGATATCTTTGACATACATTTCACTCATGTACTTTTTATTATGAACAATAAATGTGTTACAGCTTGGTAGAATTGTTTAGTCTTTATTCATGGAACATATTTACAGCATGAGTCCACTGACACTTGAGCCATATGTATTCTATTTATACCAGTGACAACATGGACACTGCTATATGCACACAGCACATTTGACCTCCGCTTTAAAATGAAGCATATCACAATCATTTACCTATAGTTATAGAAAAGAACAGTAGTGGGGTCTGTGGACGCCAATAAAACTTGGAATCCATGTTTTATGATTCAATTTCTTTTTACTAAACTATTCTAGCTCCTTTTGGGAAAGTTGAGATGAGGGATGACATAATAGTTGCTGAAGATGTCAATTTTTTTATATTTAAACAAATATTACTATAAGTATGTTTATTGACTATTTAAATTACACATTGTATACATTGTCAACAGAAAGAAGTATTTACAAGAAAGCGACAAGAATTAGAAGCAAAGATACAAATCTATAAAATGATGTGTATAATAATTTAGTATACTATATTTTCACTTATCCTAAATACATTATCTACCTCATGAGGCAATACTAGTAATTGTGTCCAGTCTGGTCTTGGCCTCGTCTGTGTCCGTGATTGTGTCTCTGTTAGAAAGCTGCTGATGATCTTGAAGAAGCGACACGATGACGGCATGTCCGAACTGCATGGCGTCATCGATGGCCATGTTCCCCCACCTGAGGAAATGATACACATTTATTTGCATTCAAAGGTAACATTGAATCACATCACATTAGTCCAGTCCTCAGGTCTCTGCACTGGCGTCCTGTGGCTCAAAGAATAGACTTTAAAGCTTGTGCGCAAGTCTCTCCTTGGCCTCGCACCAAACACATCTGTGACATGTTAGTCCCATATGAACCAACTAGGACTCCTGCTGGGACTAGCACAGGGACTGGCCTCCTGCTGGGACTAGCACAGGGACTGGCCTCCTGCTGGGACTAGCACAGGGACTGGCCTCCTGCTGGGACTCTGGGCGGGAAAAGGAACTGGCCTCTTGCTGGGACTTTGAGAAGCACAGGGACAGGCCTCCTGCTGGGACTTTGAGAAGCACAGGGACAGGCCTCCTGCTGGGACTTTGAGAAGCACAGGGACAGGCCTCCTGCTGGGACTTTGAGAAGCATAGGGACAGGCCTCCTGCTGGGACTTTGAGAAGCACAGGGACAGGCCTCCTGCTGGGACTTTGAGAAGCATAGGGACAGGCCTCCTGCTGGGTCCCAGGGTCAGGACTGCACTTCACTCTAGTGTGATTGTTTAGGATTTTAATTCCTAGTGTGATTTTAATGTTATGTTTCTTGTTCTGTTACACATTTAATTTCCCTTGTGTATGAATTGTGCTATACAAATACACTTTTTAATCAAGATGTAAACATTATTATTTACCCACTCAAAGTTGGGATACAAGTTACTCCTTCCCCCTCTGAACTTAACTACGGAAACTGAAGGGTGGTAGCAAAGTGTTTTATAACAATTGTGTTTTTATGAGACTTTTACTATCAATCAATCAATTAATCAATTTTATTTATAGAGCCCTTTACAACTCTCAAGGCGACCAAAGTGCTTCACAATAAAATTACCTAAAATCCACTTAAAACATTTATTCATTAAAAACAATAAAACAGATTAAAAAAACATTTAAAAAGTTACTCCATCCATCCATTTTCTACCCTTTAATCCATTTCTGGGTCAGGAGGTGGCAGTCAGAGATGCCACCCAAGTCTCATAGCACCAGCCCCTCACTGACCCTCTGCAGGTGGTGAGTCCACAGGAGGACGGCTGCTCTCTGAGTGTGAGCATAGCCTTGATCTTTCAGTGGGGGCTTTGGGCAAAGTGGGGTTAAGTGTCTTGCCCATGGACACAACGACAGCAGTCATCAGTGGGAGTCGGTGGAGAAGGTGCAGAGGTGGGAATTGTACCCACAACCTACTGTCGCCCCTAGTTAAAAAGTTACTAGTACATAAAAGTTAAAATGTACAATAATATTCTACATCATACCGTGGATTATAGCTTGAAACTAATTTATAGATTACAAAGCAAAACCCAACAATACAACAGTCCAAAAGTCACTTCTCTCACCTGTCTTTTTTAAACGGATTCACTTTGCAGATTTCGGTGAGGAAAATGACTGCTTCGACTTGGCCTGAGAGAAAGGGTGAATGGAATGGTCAGCAGCCACACACTTGGACCTCACAAACTACCTCTGTGAACATGTTCATTTTGAAAAAGATTGGGGAATTACCTTCTGCTGCAGCGATGTGAAGAGCCGTGCGGGAGTCGTAGTCGGTCAGCTCCATGTTCACTCCGGAGAGCGCGAATCTGAAACAGCAACAGAAATCTCGTCAAAGGAGCAGAGGATGTTATATGACTTCTGTTTTACTTTAAACTAAATCATTCATTATTATTCATTATACATTTTAATATTTATTTCAATCACATTTCCAGATTATTCAGAGGAGGACATATGTCTTTTTCATCTACAGTATGTCTCTATACTATCCTTAATTAACTGGCAATTAAAGTGAAGGTCAGTTACTTTTTAAACTTTGAAGATGGAGAGACACATTGTTCTAATGCAAGCACAAGTTTGACCTGCCCCGACTGGTTCAAGATTGGACACAAATAATTTAAATAGTTAATAGACAGCTGTGGATATAAGGTGTCAAAATGAAATATAGTTGAGGTTGCAGACCTCTCCTTTAAACAACAATCAGTATGTTATTTGTGTTATTATCAATGCTATAACCTTAAAAGCAACATATGGCAAATGTATGTCTGCCCTCAGAGCCCTGATGAACCTGATGACCTCAACCCAAACTGTAAATAGCTTTTATTATTGGTTTGGACACTACACAGCCTGAGCTTTGACAGAGCAGTGTTTTCAGATGAATCTAAGCTCTCTTCATGAACTGTGAACTGAGGAGTGCAAAGTGAACCATGCAATATGACTGACATCTGTTATTTTACACTGATGGTCTCTATCACCTCCAGAGAGGTACTTTTTCAGGACCAAGACGAGCGGCTCATTTTGACTGACGAACAAACATGAATGGATATCCTTGTGAGCTGGTTCTCTATAGGGAACATTAAAGCTGGACAGCACTGCCTAACTTTTATTTACTTAGCGAATAATATATTTGAATTGTCTCACCAGAACACTATTTAATGCTAATCATCTTGTTTTCTCTGAAAAAAACTGATCTCAAAATGTGACTGGCCAAAAATACATGTATTATGTATTGTATTATAATATGTCAATCATTTGAGATTTGAACAATTGAACACAAGTATTTGTCATCTAAATCTAAATCCTTTGGAAAGCTAATAGGAAGAAGGGGGTGGTGAGTTACTCCTGAGCTTTCGGTTGGATAGAGACCCCTGCTGTATATGGTATTCCAAAACTGGGACATAATGTTTACCTTCTCAAAGAATTCACGTCACCACTGTAGGCTGCAAACATGAGGTTGACCACAAACTTGTTCTGAAGAGAAAAACATCTGGATTATTTGCAAAAGAAAAAGTGAAGTTAGGATTTTCAAACTGCCAAAGACTTACAGGGTCTTCATCTGCTTTTCTGCGTGGATCATGCTTCTTGGTAAAGTGTCGCAGGTTGTCATAATTATGGAAATTGAAGAGAGAAACCAAGTCCTGGACAGAACAATACAGAGGCTTATAAGAGCCCTCTTACTAGCTCTACAGCCTTTAAAACAATTGGAGTCAGTCTCATTAATTTAAATCTAGAATTACTTGTTGCACTGCTGAAAAATTAGATACAAAGCACAACATGTCATATTATTTTGAGAAAAATTATTACTTCAAATCCAACAGCGATCTCATTTGGAAAGTTGATGTATGTTTCCTTCACACTAGAAACATGTGGACAAATGGCCCCATGATAGTCAACTGTCCCTGTTGTCCCCGAGTCACTCAACAAACAAACACACGCACACCACACACAAGTGGTCACGCTAAACACCAAACATACAATTAGAAGTGGACTTTTTACCATTAGTTTTAACATTAACAACTTCATATATTGCACTTAGCTTACTTGGCAAAAGTGAATGCTCCGGACGCTGTTCCCGAGTCTGTCCAAAGGGGGCGACCAGCACATTACACCCATAACATTAGGAACCACCAACAGAACTGCTCCAGACACTCCGGATTTAGCCGGCAACCCAACCTTCAAAGACACAATTATTCATATAAACCAGGGCTGTAGAACTTAGTTTGATCGGAGCCGAATTGAAAAAGTAATGGCTGGTCACAGGCCGAATATGCAAGTGTTTGTGGTTTTATTTTTATGAAAGTAATTTAACACATTTACATGGTATATTATACTTTTGTATACTTTTTCCCGGGAGAAATTAGGTTTTTGTTTGGAGTGAACCAAAACTAGACCAAATGTGAAGAAGGCTTGCAATTGTGGATTGATATTCCAATAATTTTACTATGTTTACAATTCATACATACGTATGTATGTTGGGTTCAAATCTGGGCTGGATTTGGCCCGCAGCCTTGTGTTGGACACATGTGCTCTCTAAACTGTCTAAACTAAACTATTGGAATCAGCTTTAATATCTCACATGGGTGGAAAAAACCTGGACACGTACATACGGATTATTTCTTGAATTCCTTTTCGACAGTTATGGGGTCAAAAAGAAAAATCACACTCTTCTCAAACAGAACATATTTTTCCAAAAACTAAATAATTATTTATCTAGTCTTTCTAACAGAAAAAGCTCATTACATTTTCACTTGTGCATTCGAATCCTATTTTAACTTTTAATTTTTGCATAACATTCAGTCTGGTGTTAGCTGTAGGCTGTTCACATACATCCAGTCTTGCACAGTTTTTCCAATGTGGTTTTACTGCAAATTGCAATTAAATTCTTGAATCCTGATATTGTACCTACATCTACATTTGCTTCGTATTAATCAATCTTCCACACTATCAATATTTAAAAACACAAATTAATTCTTTGTAATGTCATTTGATCAATTACCCATCTGTGCAGGCCACAACCTACAGTGGGGTTGGCTACATGAGTTCTCCCAGTGTGTCCTTACTTGGAAGGCGAACTGTCCGGAGAAGTCGTACATGCCGCAGGAGTGCATCAGGCTCAGGGTGTTCCTCACGGCCTCTGCGCTCAGCACCCGCTCTCCGCTGATCGGACAGATGCCTCCATTGGCCAGAGTGGCAGCCATGACACTTCCAGACTCACAGGTAATTTCTATAGAGCACAGCTGAAATTATAACAACATATTTGCGTTATTATCGATATCAACCCATACATCATAATCATAATCACTAAAACTGAAAACATAAAAATAAAATAACACAAGTAATCAAAAACCTAAAACATTAAACAGAAATAGCCACAGTGCATTAAAAATAGTAAAGATAAAATCCTTCATTTGTATGCAGTTGACGCCTGTCTCACATTATCGTGAAGACTGTTCCAGATATCACTGTGGCACCTGTGTTTTGATCCAAACATTAGCTATCAAAGCGTATGCCTCACCTGAAAGTAAAAGTCCAGGGCTGCCATCATGTCTGAATTGTCTGGAAAACACTGCAATGAAAACAATAATGTAAAACCAAAGTCATTCAATGCCCTCAGTCTGCAGGACTCACCCTCTTCTCCTTGAGGTAGTAGCCAATGGCATAATTCCTATCTCCGGTCTCCCGCTCTGATTGGAAGCTGCAATCGTCATTATACTGTTATTAAAAGTAACAATGTTTATTTGCTTTTTAGTGTATTAAGAAAAAAGCTTACGTTGCATTACTGAAGCCCACGTACTCTGAACCTGCCATGCTCTTGAGGAAATCCATTACCTGCAAAAAACAATCAATTACAGCCATATTTACCCAATAATACATGTTGTAAAAAGGCACAAAACAGGGAAAAGCATCAAATTGACCAGATTGCACGGTGGTTTTTCAAATTATTAAATTGCTAATATGTTAAACGGATGAAGACCGATGCACTTACTGGACTTACTGGACTAGCAATCTCAAAATTAAGTTCATGCATAAAACTAAACACATTTGACTAACACCCTTTACTCAAGAGTTTAGTTTTACCGAGGGGCCTGAGGAAACTTATACAAAGTACGAATGTCCTCTGTGTTTTTAAGTCTTGAGCAAAACTTCCATGTCTGCAAAAATCTCTGTAAAGTTTCTCTTAAATTTTACCTTGAGTAATTCAGCAGACTCAGACGTGCCCATGAAATCTAATCCTGAGCGAAAAGGCTTTACATTTGGTCATAATCTGCTTTCACTATCAGAACAGAAAATGCTGCAGTGATGCTAAAGCTACTCAAGCAGATTTATGCTGCACATTCAGGGATACATTGACCCTTACCAGGAAGGATTTAAAATGAAAATGTAAATTTGTTGGGCATTTATAATCAACAGCGTGGTCTAGTTGGCACATACAGTACAACCCCAACTTACATAGTCGAACCGTTCAGCCTTATTGGACACGGGCTGAAAAGAGAAAAAAGAGAATGATGCATTTGTCTATTTTGTCACATTATGGGCGATCAAAGGGTCAAAAGTACATCATTACACATTCAACAAAACTGTATATAACCAAAAACATTTATATAATCACTCTTTATGTGATCACTCCTTTGATCCTGCCTCAGAACATACATTTTCTATCTGCAATGTGAGTTCCTACAGAGGGCAGTGTTCCCATTGCAATCATGCACCTGCGTGTGACCCTGCGTTATAATGTCACAGTGAACGCTTGAGACGTTCTGTCAGTGAAGCTGTTTATGAGCAATATTCAATTTCACTCTCGAGAAAGAGGGAAACACGCCAAGTCCAGAATTTTAACGACCTCCCAAAAAAAGACCGACTGACTGGTTACATGATATAAGCAGAGATTTACCTTGTGCCAGCTTACAAACAAAACATATGCAAATGATTGCATAATACAGCAATTAAGCCTAACCCAATTTCAAAACAAATCAAACAGCAAAAAATGATGTCTTTTCACCAATAATTTAGGCATTTTAAGCACAAGGAGTTACACATTATTGTCAAGTCAAGTGTAAAAACAACAGATGGAGGGGTTATTTTTGAGAAACTATACTCTTTCTTTCATCAGTGAATAGCCTTGTTTAAATTTGAATAAAATGTATTCTGCTACATCATTTGTGTTTATACCCACAGCTAATTCTCAAAGCTGCAAATCACACATTACATAGTTGACCAATCAATCCAAAGTCTATGGAATTTTCTCCTCCCAAAAACACACCTTCTGCTCCGTGGCTTCTCATTGGCCACAGCAGAAGGTCAAGTCTTTGCGTCAGCCACAAAAAGTCCCCCGTGCTCGCACCCACGTGAACCTGACATGAGGCCTAGTGTCCCTGCAGGCAGCTGGGAGGTTTGAGTGAAATACACACTAACTAGGTCTATAGAAGGGAAAAACTAAAAAGCATTGAAAACCTGAGCGCCCGTTTGACCAAAGTCCATCACCCACATTTTCGGGTTGTTTGGACACATTGATAGCCTTGGATGATAAGGTCGTCAGGGAGAAATTGCCAACGTCAACGGTTTTACATCTGGTAAATCAACAGACCACAAGCCAAACAAAATTGACCTTAAGGTTGAGGTTTTGGGTCATTTTGCAGAACTTTGTGACAAAAACGAGCCGGCTGAAACTTCTAAGGTCGAGCCATGTGAGGTGGTGTCATTTCTGAGTTCTGGGGATATTTATGAATTCCTAAACCCATGAAGAAAATGTATAGAACAGAAATATAAAAAAAATACACATCATCTTGTCTTTAGCCCCAAAATTGCATAGAGAAAAAACATGGGGTACATAATATATTCTGGTCTTACCCCGTTGTATGTTTTAGGCCATGAGTAGCCATAGTTTGGAGGTACTTAATGATAACACTTGTGTGAAGCATATATTGTGAAAATAACAACTTTTATATTCGGGCTGATCTGTGGAGTCAAAAATCCAGTTCATACCATGCGGCTCAGGAATTTACAGGAACTGAAGACTTTTTGTCAAGAAGAATAGACAGCTTTGCAATCAGAGAGGATACAAAACCTCATCCACAACTATCACAGAAGACTCCAAGCTTCATATGTTAAAGGGGAAATACATGCTATGTGGGAGGAGAACAGGGGGATGAACTTCTGGGATCAGGGTCAGAAGACAAGTCTCTGATTTAAAAATGATTTGAAAGTATAAAACTGTATTTTTACAATAAATTTCTTTACACGATACTAACAATGAGTGACAATAAAAAAATAAATCTAAAAATATTATTACCTTAATGAGAGAACTGACCACAATGGCTCCAGCGTTCACCATTGGGTTATGAGGTTTATCTGCAGACACACAATCAACAACAGCATTGATAACCAGCAATAAAAGTTCTTAAACTAAAGTTCTCCTCCTGTCTTTGCTTCTGAACATGATCATAAGACAAAGGGCCAGGTACCTTCGTCGTTGAGAGACAGTTTGTTGAATTTGAGTCCGCTTGGCTCTTTGCCCACAAACTTGTGCACATGCTCCGTGCCGTATTTGTGCACCGCGATGGCGTATTCCAGAGGCTTCACCACAGACTGCAGACAGAACGGGATCTTTGTGTCGCCCACAGAGTGTCTGCAGGACGAGAGGGAGAAAAGGAGCTTTGGTGAGGTATAATGTGGACGATAAACAAAAATACATCTTGATTTTGTGGTGGTATTACCCAAAAATATTTTGGTTGTTTTTCTATTTTAATGTTGTAAAAAGCAGAATGCAGAGTTTGAGCCCAGTTTGACATCACAAACCAGATAACTGGACCTAACCATAACCATAATTTTTTTTTGATTATTTATGATTTGTTGCAGAATGCTGTAATTGATCACTAAGAGCTACAAACAATCTGAGGAGGAAACGCAGATTGTTTGTAGATGGACAATAGCCCCTCAGGGCTGCTTTCATTTGCGGGTAAACTCTTGGTTGCCCCTGTCCCGGCGAAGAACTGCCCATAAAAGACACATGGCTCTACAGTATATAGCTTGTCGTCCAATCGGCCTCATCCCAAGCCCCGGGTCTCCAGCTGAGGATGAGCTATTTTAGTTAACATTGAGGTATGTGGGAACATTTCCTAAACAGTGAGAATTTAAACTGCAGTGCAGAGGGTTGCCTTTGTCCGTGCTGGAGATGGGTTTAAGCAACAATATCCTCCAGGTAATATTATACACCCACATTATTTCTGCATTAAGGCTAACAACATATACTGTAGTCTTTGGGGAGACAGCTTTTCCTGTTACATCAATGGTGCAATCGGGTAAAGGGGATATTTTCTATCACCCATCATATTTACATAACCTTTGATTTTACCTCTGTCCATCGATTGTGCAGAGAGACACGCCCCAAAGATCAGGGCTGAACTTGGCCAGCTGTGGAATATAGTCAGCCACCTAGAACAAAGAAACAGATGATGTAACGGCTAATTGACTATGTTTTTTTTTTTTATGCAACACATTTGACCTGGACTCTATTAGTACAAAGACGTGAGGGATAGGTGGAAGGTGGAACAATATTTCACCTGTGAGGCCTTACATGAATCTGGTGAGTGTGTGATGTGATGCCTGGAGGGACTGATGGCACAGAATGGCATTCTCAGTGGCAGAGTTCAGTGCTTAGAAATAACATCCTCTCATGTCCCGAAGCTCTGTAATGTTGTGACATGTGACGTGTTGAGTGTTTTGTCATGTGAAACCAGCTGTGAAATCACGCACATGCCAGTGCAGTGCTGAGGCCAGTACATATATATATATATATATATTAGGGCTGTCCAAAATAGCGCGTTATTAACGCGTTAACGCAAATCAATATTAACGCCGTCATTTTTTTTATCGCGCGATAAAAAAAAAAAAATAAAAAAAAAAAGAATGTTTTTTTTTTTTTTTTTTTTTAATTTTACTTTTTATTGCAGACAAACACATATACAGAAAAAAAAATAGAAACAAAGAAAAGGACTAGTTCAGATACATTGTAGACAGAGATTACAAACAATATGTAGTTGGAGATACAGGGGGCCAAAGAAGAAACCCAGAAGGGCACATAGGAGGGGACGGGGGGGGGGGGGGGGGGGACATGAAGTGGGAGATGGGGGGGAGGGGTTAATAAAAAAGGCAATACAAGCAAACAGTATACAGTCATAGATATACCGAAGGAAACAGAGAAACAGCATAGAGTATTTACATGAACAAATTTACAAAATATTTACAGATTGTTTATCATCATCATAATGACACCATGATGTTTCTATACAGTCTATGGTCTATACCCACACATACACACACACACCCACACACACACATTGAAGGGGCTTTTTGTTACCAATTATTTATTTTGTCATCCATTTATTGATGATTTTGCATCAAATGTTAGTGTGTAATATAACACTACACATTGTTTTCAATAAAAAAAGCAATTGCACACAGCACGCAAATGTGTGACTAATTTGCGATTAATCGCGAGTTAACTATGAAATTCATGCGATTAATCGCGATTAAATATTTTAATCGTTGGACAGCACTAATATATATATATATATATATATATATATATATATATAGCGTATTTATGTATATATATATATATATATATATATTTATATATATATATATATATATATATATATATATATAGCGTATTTATATGTATATATATAATATATACACTTCAGACTCACCTGTCCTCCTTCTTGTTGCTGTGCGCTGTCAAACATTTTATCCACCTGCAGCACAAACTCCTCAAACTCTGGAATGATGAACTTTTTCTTTAGCGCCTTGGTCAGCAGCAGGATGATGTTGCCGACGCATCTGCAATTGAACATTGGTTTTTAATGATTTTATGAGTCTACTTTCTACCGAAAACTCAAATGTATTTGTTCATCACGGCTAATACACAAAGGAAATCAAATTTCTTAACGAAACCAATAAAGAAATATTGAAATCATAAACAATCAGAGTACATTAAAACGAGTGATGGTACAATGCTTCAAATGTATGCACAGAAAAACAGAACTAGATTTGAACATCGTCCAAAAAAAGCTGGCACCTGTCTCCCCCCCTCAGCCCCCCAGGGATTTAAATAGCTCCGTCAGAGGCCGTCATGGTTACATAATCACTGAAACCTGTGGATGTCAAATAACCTCAGCTAACTTCTGTCCAGCCGCCCACACCACATTCATGCTTATTCTGGTCCATACAGTATATTTAGATTTAATATGAAAAGTGTAGCGAGCAAAAGTAGAGTCTTGTTTAAGTAGTTTGTGAACAAATCAGAGCACAACATGCTGTCTTTGGGATAAAGTCAGATCTTACATTTTAGTAGAATCCACCAGCGTCTAATCTACTTCTAATGTCAGCCGTGGCTTGGTTCAGGAAGTTCTGTGAAAGCCAAATATTGACTTTTTGGCTAAGTGTGAACAAGGACTGCTACTTTAGCTCAGGTTTCCCGAGCAGTTTCTACATCATCTAATTATAGAGCCCAGACAGTATACTGTAGTGTTCTTTTAAATGTTTATTTAAACTCTACAGCTGTTAACTCTGAACTAATACTGTCTTTTATTACGTTCAGACAAAACAGAAACATCTGTTGACACTTTGGGGCAACAGTGGCTCAGTTGAGCACTGGCCTTTAGCCTGAAGGTCGTGGGTTTGAGCCCACTGCAAGACCTTCTCCACCGACTCCCACTACTGTCTGCTGCCGTTGTGTCCCTGGGCAAGACACTTTACCCCACTTTGCGTAAAAGGAGCGGGGAATTAAAAGCAAGCAAAAAAAAATCACTGATGTGATATGTGTATATTGTCTATTCAAATTTCTCCATTGTGAGATCAATAAAGTATATCTTCTTCTTCTTCTTTATTTATATTACACTGATCTTAAATATAAATGCAGCTCTTTTGTTATTGCTCTCATTTTAGGGTTCAACCAACAATTGACCCATCTCTAACAGATCAGATCCTGCAAGCCTGTTTCTGGTGAGAACTTATTCTTTGTTGAGATAATCCATCCCACCTCATAAATGACACCTATGAATGTTGGTTCACTCCTCTTCAATGACTTTATATTGACAGGAACTGGAACAGTGATCCAGAGGATCCCAAACATGCTCAATGCGACATGTCTGTGAGTATGAGGCCAAGGAAGGACTGAGATGTGGTTCAACATGAGGCTGTTCTTTATCCTGCTGCGACATGGATGTGGCATGGTGGCTGAGTGGATAGCACTCTCGCTTCTCAGCAAGAAGGTCCTGGGTTAGAATCCCGCTCGGACCAGGGCCTTTCTGAGTGGAGTTTGCATGTTCTCCCGATGTCTGCGTAGGTTTCCTCCGGGTACTCTGGTTTCCCCTACCACTAAAAACATGTACAATAGGTCTGGCATGCGCCTCCTGTCCTGGCGACCCTGCTCCCATCTCTGTGTGGAGTGAGAGGACAAATGCCCCAAAAAAAACAGTTGTAAAGGCGGTAAATAAAGATTACTTACTTACAACACTGGCCTCAGGATCTCGTCACAGTGTGTGCTTTCAAAAGGCCATGTGTGCATGTATTCATAAAAAATGGGGGCAAAATCAAAAGTCCTGTGTTTTTGTATATTTTATAAGTAAGGGATAATGTATAGCCTACAGGTCATTATCGGAAAATAAGTACCGACAGGGCGAAGCGGACCCCGACGCGCAGCGGAGGGGTCTGCTTCCGCCCTGAAGGTACTTATTTTCCGATAATGACCTGTAGGCTATACATTATCCCGCTTATTATACTGCTTTGTACCAACTTAACACACAAAATAAACTTCAGATCACTTTTATGAATGCCAAAAGTTTATTTAATGACAACAAATAAAGTAGTCCCAAAAAGTTTTCCCGTTGCTCGGCAACCGCGGGCAACAGTTAGGCTGGCAACTTCCAAACTAGAACTCTCTGGAACTGCATGAAAACTGAACAAAGAATTCTGAACATCAGCGGTGAGTGACCCATACATAAACCTAACCTAAATCCATAATTCGATCCTCTGCAAATGTGTCCGAAAATGCGCCGGTATCTTAAAATGTGCCGGTATCTACTTCCGGGTTTTTCGGGATCGCCTTTTCTCGCATTACATCAGTGTTTTTGTCATGAAAACGTAAACGGAAAATTCTGAAAACTTCCGTGCACTTGTATTAAGACTGGATATGTATAAATTACTCTCCGATTAACATTTCATTGCGTTGATTGATTGGCATTTGCGTTTATTGAGCGGCCAGAACTACTTCCGGGTTTTTCCACGATCGCTTTTTGACGCAGAGAAATAGTATTTTTGTCATAAAGACAAGACCAGAAAATTCTGAAAATTTCCGTGCACGTGTGTGAAGAATGTATATGTATAAGTATTCTCCGATTAACATTTAAGTGTGTTGATTGAGCGTGGCTAGCTCAGGAGTGGCCGGAACTACTTGCGGAGTTATCCACGCATTTGAAAGACAAGCAGAGAGAGCGTTGCCATGGGCAGCGGTCATTATTGTTTTGAGAGGTCCGTTATAGAAAATAATGACCGGTAGAACGTTTTGAAATTACATTCAAATCAATGGAGCGTTCTCCTGCTGCTGTGAGGAGCTGTATAATAAATATATTTAAACTAGAACATTATCCAGACATAAAAACTAATGAATAATCATTGTTAATAGGTCACAGCGGTTGTTGGATAAGGATGCCAGTTTGATCCCACTGCTGCCAATGCAAACAGTGTGACTTTGGCAGGACACTTGCACGGTTCAGTCGGCTATGTATAACTGCAAATACTCACGACTAGAGATATCAATATGGAAACTGGCCACTCTTAAAGTGCAGGTGACAGGTTACTTACGCCTTGTTATACTTTAGCCCTGATTCCACCATCCCTACTTGGACCTATTCTACTCTACTTGGCTCTACACTACCCCTCTTGGGAGCGGTTCCACCCGCCCTGTGTGATTAGTACCTGGTACTTCTGGTACCCGCTTGGCCTGGCTCTAACCAGGCCGAGCTCGTACTCAAGTGTTTTATCTGAAGATGCTGCTGGAAACCATTGATACCAAGACATTTAAACAGATACGGTTCCAAATACTAAGGTCCAATGGAAACAAAATTAGACCCGAGGAGAGTTCTGATCTTAAAACTATAACAATTAATACAGTAAAGTGGCCGCTTGTGGAGCTTTAATTTCATAGCGGCCTCATCTCGGTAACTTCTATCCAAACAGTAAGTGAAGTTATACAAATTTACAAACTATAAACAGGACGATATGTTAGTGCACCTTCTGAACAATGTCTTGTCCATCATCACCGGGCCGACAGACTCACGCGACGCTTGTCTCATGGTCTTCACACAGTCACGCAGCCGAGGGTCCGTCATCAACAAACCAGTTTTCTTCAGGACCTAAAATTAGATAATTAATGTTAAATTGTGCAATTGGTGGCATACTGGTTTGTTGGAAACCCTGGATTCCAATACCCACAAAGCAGAAAAGGAGTGCTGAATAGTCTGGCCTTGCTAAAAATACCAGCATGGCATTAGTATCATTCTCATGTTTCAAAAGATTAAAATGATTTTATTGACCGACTTGGATCCAGACAGAAGTCGGTCAACTCAGGATCTTCCCTTCTTCACAGTTACATAACATCTCCAAAGAAAAGGTCCATCTGAGCTGTGGCACTAGAAACAGCCGTGCTCTCTTACTTCATAAGCAGCAAACATCAGGCTATTTAAATTCAGCTCCGAGGATCATGTCTGAACCTTTGGACCTTTGGACTGGACTATGAGGACTTAGGCCAAACGTCGGAGAACTCCTGCTCTATGGAACTGAAGATTTTATTATGCGAAATCCATTTTGTAACAACATTGTTCCTCGTTGTTGTTATCCGTTAGCTGTTAGCTGTTATCAGTGTGAACAGAGCACTTGTTTTGAAACTGTTTTAGTCGATCGATTTCACAGTGACTTTTGTGTACTGTTTTATTTGTTTTTTTATTTTTGTCTTTTAATGTTGTGTTATATCTGTATTTGTCTGTGCACACTGGTGACTTTTGCTAATGTATTCCAATGTGGTGTTTTGACTGCAAATGGCAAATAAACTGAATCTGAATCTGAATCTGTCAGAAACAGACTTGGAGTTGTTCATAGATCCATCCACACTGATAGCCGGAACTTCTGGCCTAAACATGTATCTCCACCCCTTCTGTTGACAATCTCCTGTCTTGGGCTTAATAGTCACTGTAGCACTAACACATTTTAGTATGTTTTACTAATGCAGATCATAACATAAACATTAACATAGTTTGTGTCGACGACCCCTCTGACCACCATCATCTTTCAAACACACACCAGACCTATACCAGACATAGGGTTAGGGCTTTCTGCCTTTTATAACAAACGTTGTGCCCCTTAATTCATTTTAGCAGTTTATCAAGTAAACAAATTTTCATCACCATCGTATTTCAGTGGTTGCATTTTCAAATATGGAAAAATAAACCATATTTTTCTCTTCATCCTTGTCTCACCACAACTTAGCCACTGCTCTTTATTATTTCCCCATTCATTGTCATTTTTAATTGATAAAACAATCAATAATATGTCTTCTTTAAATGACGACTGAACATGTAAACAGCTGATAGAACTGGTAGATGCCAAGTTCAGTTCAGTTGTATCCTTCAGTCAGGGGCCTGTGGTTGGCTGCTGTATTTGAAGGCACAGGTGGAGATTACATAAGTTTGTCAATCACAACTGAAATGTAATTTGGCAGGGGGCATCTGGCAGACTGAACAATAGCAAGTGTCCAGTGTTGTTATACTGCCCCAGCTTTGATAAACCAGTGCATCATTTCAGAGGGACGCAGGAGCTTTCTGGAGGATAAGTGTTTTTGAAAGATGGATATTGGCACAAATGTGGAACATGATTGGTATCTGATTGAGACAAACATGTATTTGGTCTTGTTGAATTATGGAACAGTTTTTTGAGATTTATACTTTGTGCTGAGAGAAAGGATAACTCAAACTCAAAACACATTTGAACTATATTAATAGACTAAATATATATGCATAACACCAAAATCCATCCACTTTTGTGAATGTTTACCATATGCACCAATTACATGTAGCTTTGTTCACAGCAGCACTCCTCATTACACAGCTGTGGGTTTGATGCACATCTGGGAGTGTGTGCCTGGATCAGCTGTTTCTGCTGACTCCCACATTCAATGTTTCTTTTTCTTCATTCTAGACGCTTTATGTAAAGTATACGCTTTACATATATCAGACTCAAACTGTAAATGATGCTCCAAAATGACTTGAAATAAATGGTTTCTCTATCTTTCTCTATGCTATATACTGATTATGAAAGAATAATACACAATAGGTTGCATTCATGTGACATCACAACACTCCAAAGAGCCCATATAGTTTAAAAAATGTGGGGGCAGCAGAAATTCTTGGTAACTATGGTAACTTCAAGTTTAGAGCTCATTTCTGTGTAATTCCAGGGCCAGTCCACATGAAACAAAAACTCAAAGCTCTACATCGTCTTTGTGAGAACACGTCAACTACGGATATGTGAAAAACATCTGCAGGATGTTGTGTGGGCATAGAAAACATTTGGACATGATCAAAAATGTCTTTAACAATTATTATTTTTTGCTTCTTTCCATAGAGCTGAATTGAAGCTTGCTTTCCAACTGAAATAGAATTGTAGAATGTGAGCGCAGCCTAATGTATGACTGAAGTGAATGATTGTATCTTTTACTGTATATGTTCTGTTGCATTCTTCTGTTACAAGTGGAAGTTAAACCGTTCAGACCACCAAATTGTTTTATAGAAATGTGTTATTGTGGCAGGTTTGACCTATATCTGCCGTTCTGTTATTTATAGTGATTGCATAAGCACCAGCTCCTTCTGACCACAGTGAAGAAAGCTCTGAGGACATGATTTGTTTGCTCCTCACCCGCTAAGGTCCATCTAGCTACAAGATCACACTGAAGAATTGCATTCTCTTTAGCCGGGCGTCTTGAAACTCGTCCTGATATGGATCCCATGCTTGTCTCTATGGCGACACAATGTTGTACCGTGCCAGCATTCAAGGCAAAGCACTTTCTTGTGTCAGTGAAACTTATCACCAGGCCAACTTTTCAACTGGCAAAGACGAATTACAAAGTTGAGATGAGGCTTTAGATCGGTTTAAAAGTTTTTTCACAAGAAAGCAGTGGAGTTTTTTTCTATTATTAGGCACTAGAGTAGCAGAATAACTTACTCTTTCTTTACATCAATTTGCCTTCCCACAAACATTTCCCTTAATCTTGATTTTCATCTTTTTCTTTTATCTATACCTGTTATCCTCAATTTCAAGATTCCACCATTTGTCTGTTTCACATAACTTATCTGAAAAAATTGTGCATTTTGGGTTAACATAATGCAAAATATGAGTCTAAATAGTGTGTGTGTGTGTTTGTGTGTGTGTATTTGTGTGCCTGGTAATGCGGGTGTGCGCCTGCATGTTCAGAGGAAAGTCACATTATTTCAACGGCAGGTGAAGTGTGAAAGTTGTTGACTCACGGTGACGAAATGCGACAGGGGAATGGTGTCTTTGCCCTCTGTGATGGTGTAAAACAGAAGGTCCTCCATCCCCTCCATTAACCTGTACCTACAAGAGCAAAGTCAAAGCGAGAGAGAAGGAAAGAGGGGGTGAAGTAAGAGATTAGAGACAAATAGACGTTAGGAGGTTTAGTTAAATATCAATCACATGAGCTGTTGAGAAACATTGGCACGTGGATCAATATTGATGCATTGGCACAGAGAAAGTCTCTTCAGGTTATATGAACTGGCAAATATGGAATCATCGTTTAACAGCGGCATCGTAGCAAGTGCCCTTGATCTGATCTGTGTCCTTTCAAATAAACATTAGCCAAAAGTAAAGTTTTGTTTTCCTGTTTCAGAAAATGGCATAAGTGACAAAATTGATGGGATTTGAGGAAAAGTGAACCCCCCTCGACGCAAAAAAACATGTTTAATTGTTCCAGACAACATTATTGAGAGACAAGCAGTTGATGTCGCAAGAGAAAAAGCAGATAGAGGAGTTTTCAGACGTTCAAAATAACAAGAAACCAAATGGTGATTTTCACTGAAAAATACATTTGAGAGTAGTATGAAAGTAAACTCTGGTGTCAGACATGCTACAAATATGGTTTTAATGTTATAAAGATATATTACCTTATTTCTTTTAGATACTGTGTTTTGTAAATCTAATGATCTCTCAATATCGCCTCCCAATTCCTGCTTTCAGCTATACATCAAATGATGCTTCACAGTGCAATACTAACGTCTACTTTGAATACAAAAAATACCCAAAACAGTTACATTCTACGTTCATGCCAAAAATGTATAATTTTGTAACTTACTGTAAAGTGCTCTTCTGTAGCATGTCTAACGGTTAGACCTGCTACAGAAGAGCACTCTAACCTTTATACCTTCAAGTTTGTGTTTTCAGAATGACTTTTATCAGAGGTAAATGTTTGTGGGAACCTACTTGTATCCCGGGTCTTCGGGGCAGGTCTGATGCAGCGCTCGGAGGGGGTGTGGAGGGGATGCTGAGGGGCCCCAGCCTGAGGCCAGAGGAGCAGGGAGCAGTGTGCGGGAGCTGCTCTCACATCCCAGCCTGGAACCAGCATTTTTCAAGAGCTGCAGGAGGCCCGGGTTTGCTGTCCTTAACCTTTTTAAGCAATGCATTGGAAAAGTGAAGCGAAGAGTATATCAATATTAATAATAATAATAATATAGAGAGTTTGGGCCCTGTTTTAGCTGCTGGAGAGACGACTTGTGACCAGAGCAGTTGGTCCTGGGTGAGTGTGAGTTAAAGCAGGTGACGTTTTACAGGGACAGGATCAAGTGCACAGAGAGCTGGAGGCGGGGTCCAAACACACACACAAACGCACACACACACACACACACACACACACACACACACACACACACACACACACACACACACACACACACACTGACCTTATGACAGTAACTCTGATACGGTGACTGAGGCAGCTGATACCAACACAACATTAATACTACATTTGTGATGTCGACGTATGTATGTATGATAGTCGTCACCCGCATGAATCTTTAATTTCATTTTTAACACAATACATTTAAAAAGGTTTATAAACAAAATAACACAAAGGATTTAAAGAAGAAATATTATGCATTATTTTTGGCTATTACAAATGATAATGAGACAATTTACTTTGCCATCTCATGTTTAAACATTTGAATATATGATGAAAAAGGTTGTCAATGTAAACGACGCTATCTCCTGCAACTTCCTATGCTACCACCAGAAGGAGGAGTGGAATTAGCGATTGTAAAGAACAGAAATTGCCTGAGAAATTGCCAAAACATTCATTTAGGACACTATATATTGTTTTAACGTGTAATGCCATAGTTATACAATGACATCATACTATTACTGGACTGAAAGAGTTTAGACAGAAGGGTCGGAGCCACATGTTTGTCAGGTGTTCCTGATTTCCCAGATCTGACCTATAACTTGGTTTGGTGTGTGTCATCTTTTCAAGGAAATCCTCAGGCAGGAATGTTACGTATTGCACTAATAGTGAATACAAATAAACGAACACAATAAAACCAATGACTCAAGTGAACTTAAATTGGAGAATCATCTCATCACATATGAATATTCTATTTCAATAATAATGCTTTTTTATCATGGCTTAGGAAGAAAGAAAACATACACATAAACTAAGATTATTAAAGCATTATTATTATTATTATAGAGTTTCTGGGTGACAGTGGCTCAGTTGATAGAGCATTGACCTTAGAGCCTGAAGGTTGTGGGTTCCAGCCCACCACAAGACCTACTTCACGACTCCCACTGATGACTGCTGTCGTTGTGTCTTTGGGCAAGACACTTAACCCCACTTTGCCTGAAGCCCCCACTGAAAGATCAAGGCTCCTGAGGACTCACCACCTGCAGGAGCATCAGTGAGGGGCTGGTGCTCTGTGTACTGGGTGTAGCTTTGACTGCCAACCCCCCTGACCCAGAAATGGATTAAGGGGAAGAAATTGGATGGATGGATGGAGTTTTTTCCTTGTTCGATGCAGGCTGTTTGATTCTCTGATTTATGTTGGCAAATTCGACGGTTTTGTAAAGTCCTCCGAGATAACTACTGACTCAGGGCTCTACAAGAATACATTTAATTGAAATTGAATTGAATTATTGACCTTCATTCAAATATTTTGTCTATGTCTAATTCATTAAAACGTGTACCAATGAGATGATCAAAATGTTTCATTCCAAGTGAGAATTTCCTTGTCTCTAAGATACAAGTAATGTCACTTTGGCAAATCTTGTTGTACTGCCAACAACATTTTCTAAAGAGTTTAAATTTAACACATTTTTTGTTTTATAATTCTTTGCAGTGTGATCTCAATTATCCACATTACAGTTTGAAGCTGAGGTACCACAACTAGTAACTATGTACTAGTTCCTATTACATAGTAAAATTAGAGACGTTCTTGTCTCTAAAACATTGGTTCTATCACTTACAACACAATACAATACAATTTATTCTTGTATAGCCCTAAATCAGTAGCCATCTCAGAGGACTTAACAAAACCATTGATATCCCCAACACAGATCAGAGAATCAACAGTTGAAACACAGAAAGAATGTAGAACAAATGTTGAAAAATGTCCATACATGTTTTCACATTCATATACTTTGCCCTTTGCCACATCTTTTTCACTTTTTTCTGACAAAAAGTGTCAAAGAGAGGACCTCAAATAGATAATCACAAGGTTCAACATATCAGATGTTTTCTAACAAGATGAAGACAGCTATGTTTCTTCACAAAACGCTACTTTGACAAGATTATGTCTGTCATACAACATACAGGACATACAAATTAAAAACCCAGTTTTAAAGTTACCTGTCGTAAACTATAAAATCAATAAAACAACATGCTTCATCCCCTGCCATGCTCTTTTTTCATGATGTAAACAAACTTTCAAACCACAGGAATGAAACTATGCAATTAAATTTCTGAAATTTCCCCGCTGTGGGACGAATAAAGGATCTCTTAATCTTGATCTAAAACCCAAATACACAAGTTTCTGTCTCCAAAACACTTTCTATCACTAGTTTCACATACATTTTCACGTTTTTGGTCTCTGTTAAACCACAACCTCAGCCAATCATCTCAGAATGTAACAAATAAAAATATCAATCATATCCATCAAACAAAAAAGATTGGTACCATCCATGTTGGTACCCCGTTATTATAATAGATCTATGTTGTACCCCAGTTTTGATTTCAGCGCAGACAGTTTTATCTTGGACGTGCCTCCTCCTCCTCAGTCCTTGTCCAACAGCGACACCGTGTGGCCGGTACATCGCACGCAAACTGGATGAACACATGTTTTTCCCTCGCTGTCCTGTAGGGGGCGCGGTGGCTCCAGGGCCCTACTCCTCAGGTCAGCGGGGCATGGGGGCCTCAGCGCGGGTGTCTGGCTCTTGTGGTGTCGGGAGGAAGTGTCCACAGGCCCCGTCTCTGCTCCAGACTTTGCTCCAGACCCTTGGCAGCACATCTGACTCAGACACAGGTCCTCAAAGATGTCCCGTTGTGTTGTGGCCTCTCGGAAGTGGCGCTTCCTGGCTTTCAAGTTAGACCATGTAAGCTTCAGTTCCGTTTTGAATGAGATTAAGCTTTATTCGTGTTTACTTTGAGAGAATAAAAGAGTTCAAGGGATTTATTTGACTGAAGAAGGTGTGTTTAAGATTTTCAGTCAATGAGCACTGACACCTGCCAAGATTCTTTTGATAATAGCTTCACATAAAGCTGGGGTACCTAACTTTGTACAAATATAAATGACATTAGTTTTTCCCACCAGAGAGTCTTGTATTATTGTTAAGAAATCAGACCACTGCAACAAGCTCTCCTCATCTTATTGGGAAGAGTGATGGTGGTCCTTGCTTTTTCACTTTTCTGTCTGAAAAAGCGATCCTAAAATGTGACAGAGGTCTAAAATACCTACATGTGTCTTGCCGTATAACCAAACTCTTCTGAGAGCAAGGAACAAGTTTTTTGTGGTTTCAAAGTTAGGTACCCCAGTTTTAAACAGTTCTTCAACTTATTTGGATAGTGCAGTTCATACACAGAAAAACTAAAAGTGCTTTACCACTGTACATTCTTTCAGTTTATGAAATGCTAAACCTGTCAACTTTTTCAAATGATGAGTTTGGTCTATCACAAGATGAACCAAAGTCTATGTTTATACTTATATACTCTTGGTTGAACGTAGCCCATACACAATGGTTCAATAGATATTTGGGATGTGACTGCTAACCTGTTGAAGAAGTTCATTTATTTGTGTATATTTTAACCTACAGTGGTCTAATTATCTTCAAACTCAGTGGGTCTCAAACATTTCTCACCAATTACCACCACTACCAACATTTGCATTCCAAAGACCCTCTAAGGCCATCTCAACACTAAAATCCTGTCTAAACCAGTGATAAAATATATCTGAACTGAATCAAACAGAAATTGTGATTAAACTGGATAAAGAAAAGCAATAGAATGGCATTTTCTTTTGTCTTGTCTGTATGTTTTAAAATGAACCTAGAGTCTGTAATAAAGTTGAATTGAATTGGAATAGCATACCAGCAAACCAGCTCTCGTGTCTTTCAGAACAAGTACAGAAAGTATTTTATTGCACACAAGAATCACAATTGGGTTCATTGCACACACTGGCCAAAACAGGAGCAGAGCCAGTGGTGGTCCTATCTGTTTGCCAGAGGACTCCTCCAAAGGGGTGCTTCTCTCCGTCCTCACCCATGGCCTTCTTGTGCTAGACTTCTGCCGGTTGTAGCTTCTCTGTTTTCAGGAGAAAATGTTTTCCATTCCTGGGCCAATGAATGCCACCTTTGTCCCTTCATCCTCCATCTTGTGTGAGAAAGCCCCCCTCGCCACACTCACCAAGCCTGCACAAACTTAACCTCTTCCCCCTCAGCGCGCACAGGAAAAGAAACATACCCAGACTGCGCTTTGATTATTGGCCTCACTAATCTCAAGGTGTGGGGAGAGGCTCCAGATCTTCAACACGAGCAGCTTAAAAGTGTGTCACGGATAATGATAATAATTTATAACACTCTGGAGCTGTAATCGAGGATAGAAATGCATTATGAACTTAATACCTGCCCCGTGTGTCTCATAATGGACTGATTCTGGACTGAAAGGACAGATTAAAAAAAACCTCTAGTTTTTCTGATTTGTTTTTTAGATCATGAAAGATAGTTACTCCTGGTACTTTGTTTCCAGTATCCCACAGTACAGACAACACTGACAATAGACATATAGAATTATTGAAATATATTCGAAAGCCTCTAACTCTCCCTATAAACTGTGTTCATTGTAGGAGCTGACGGCAGTAGAGATACAAGGTCTCCCTAAGGTGCATATTAGGTTGTCACTATAAATTTGACCCTCATAAATTATACAATAGCGTGATCTAATGGACTAGATCTACATGGAAAGAGATTGCCTTTTGATTATTCGTTTTTTTTTTCTTGTTAAGCACTTTGAGTATACCAAATAAACTTGCCTCACCTTGCCTCAATCCTCTTCTACAGTACTTGTTTTAGAGTTGGTTCTTCGTTGAGACAATACCTAATCAAATATGTATGCAATTAACAATAAGTCCTTGTTTAGTCCATTTGCACATTTCTCATCGGGCATCATGGCTTGTTTGCATTTTTTATACTTTGAAAGAAAGTTTGATCTGATTGTGTCTTCTAAGCTTTCTAAATTTGTCACACAACATCCCAAATTCAGAATATGTGAGTTTTCAGATTAAATCTTGGACTAGAACTGGGCCAAAGTCTAAACCAGGACCACACACAAAGTCAAGACTGACACGCCTGATATCCAGTTACTCCCACAGAGAAAGAGTTGAACGATCATTTTTATAGAACACAAAAAGTGAAAATGAACTAATGTGATAGAGAAAGAGATAAAGTGAGGTCAATGTGATGTTTGTGTTTTTAGGAATGGAAGGAGGAGCCGGTCTTAGAGGGTGCTGTTGGAGAAGAAACATCATTGAGTCTCTCTAAATGTGAGTACGAGTTATACACTGTACATTTATCTGTACTCATAATGTCATCCCTTTCACCTCTCCCACTGAGGGATGGGTCGACTGAAGATGGACAGAGTTTTTAACCACAGCAGTGTCTGAGGACTCCACCTGCAGATATAAAACCTCATTCTGTCTTCTCAGGACAGTAGTAGTGGAAAAGCAGTGCTCATTAGTAGAGTTACAGGGTTAAACAGTGTTATAAGGACTCACAAAGCACTCTACATTGTTGTGGGAATTTTTTGTCTCACTCCACACATGGGGATAGACGCAGGGTCGCCATACAGGAGGCACATGCTGGACCTATTGTACAGGTTTCTAGTGGTAGAAGACACATACGTAGACATGGGTAGAACATGCAAACTCCACACAGGCTCTGGAACTCAGGACCTTCTTGCTGTGAAGCACAAGCGCTAACTGTCGCAAAGTGTCCCATGACCTTCAGAATCTCTACTAAGAAGAAAATGCATACTTTTTTATAATATCAACGAACGTTTAAACCATAACATGAAAAGACCCCACTTCTACACTATCATTTTGGACACCCCACTGCGTGAACCATACTCACACTTCAGATCAGTATTTTATTCAGAACTGAAATAATGAATAGCTGAAGGTTGGTGTAATCTACTGTCACATGCAGGACACTTTAATATTCTACAAGTTGTATGAAATTTTTTTTTCTATATTCTTTCTGTGTTTTAACTGTTGATTCTCTGATCTGTGTTGGTGATTCAATGGTTTTGTTAAGTCCTCTGAGATGACTTCTGTTGTGATTTAGGGCTATACGAGAATAAATTGTATTGTAATTGTATTGTATTGTATTATTAGAGCGTTAACCAATCAGGGCTCTGTTTGTAGATATATAAGAAACACAAACACGATTGATTACTTGCTGTATTCAGTAACTTTCATAGTTTTAAATCAATAATGACGGAGGATTGACACACTTCACGTCTGCTCCTTTCCAATCGACAGCACATGGTCTCATTAATCAGACACAAGTGCAAACAGACACCTCTCAACTTCACTCCGAACTTTTAGACCACAAACCGATCATTCCATGTACAGATTGCTCATATCACACTTGTGGAATCAATCGGGTTAAGGTATCAGCCAATGCTCTCTCCCCTCACACAACTTTGCTCCCTGCTCTTCCTCAGACCCGCTCCGTGTCTGATCCGGATGAGGAACGTGGCCATCACCAGGGTCAGTGTACAGCGGCACCTCTCCACCCTGTAGACCCCTGGAGCCTGGTCCCGTCACGAGCCTCTCATCCCCTCTCTCCCCTCTCTGCCTTTCGACCCCCTCCCCTGCAGCAGCTATCCCACCGGCCTGCCATCTCACAGCATTCCGCACACACAGAGCCCTATTGTGTGGTGCAGGAGACGGCAGCAGGTAATATACAGTCAGAGGGCCCGAGAAAGACCAATGTAACCAGAAGGAACACACACTGGATTCTTAGTGTCAAATTAGACCCTAAAAAGTCTATATAGTCAATGTGTGTCGGTCCTATTGAGAAAATGTTGGCATGTGATATAATGAACAGTGAAATGGAGATACGTACAATTGATTTTATTTGGTTGGTCTATGCTGACCTTTTTTTGCATTAAAGTCAATAACGAGAAAGGAAAAATGAAAAAATAGCGCTTAAACATTAGTCTTTGCCCCAGAATCACAGCCGTACACAGCATTGAGCTACATTTACCGGTTTACTGGTCCAAATTTAACTTCTAATATTACAAAGGTTTGGGTTTATAGATTTTCTTTTTCATTCATCGCCTTTTATTCTCTGTCTTTCTACATTTTCACATAGCTGGGGACTGTTGACGATAATGTGGGCGTCGTCCATATCCTCTAACTACAGAAGGACTTAAAACATTGATTTTTGTTTTTGAAAATGTACATCGTGTCAAGTTTAATGTATATATATATATTTTTTGTTAGACGTTAATTCACTTTCAACATGTTTCGACTGCAGAGCTACTCACCATCGTAAAAACCCTTTGAATAGGATTTTTTTTGTCTCCAAATTATTTTCAACGGGATGCAAAACACTTGATATTCAGGGAGTCTTTCATATAATGGCCTCAAAAATAGTATGTTACAATGGTAGTATTCTCACTATGTTCTACCACTTACTCTGCAAATCCTACAAACAGGCCTCCCCAGATGGAGCTTTGGAAAACTGTAAAAAGAAGAATTGGTCATAAAAGAATATATTTACAATGTTACATGTTAGAATCCTCCTTCTGTGATTCCTCCTCATCAGTGTGGTCTGTGATCTGTAGGGAGTTACCTGCTGAGTTACAGGTGGTACAACCTTGAGACATGTCCATTGTATTCATTTGCAGACCATAATACTGTAAATAATGTAAATCTTTATTTGAAACTGCACCACAAGCAGCGATGACTTTCCCTGACTCAGCAAACGCCACTGAAGGCACCGTCTACGCCTCTATTGTCGGAGCGGCGCACACAAACATTATTGATTCAGCTTGCTCTTTAAATTCCACACATGTTTTTCTTAGTGGCTCCTAAACACCACTGTTTAGTGAGTCGAGATAAAAACAAAATAATAGTAATAGTTTTTTGTATTTTTTTTTTTTTTTACAAATGTATGACCAAAGTGGATAAACTAAGGCTCAGTCACGCTGTAAAAGAAGTAACTTGTTAAAAAGGCAAATGATATTATACTACTAGTCATCAGCAACCGATCTCTGAGGCTAAAAACATTGGGGTCTGGTTAGTTCTTGGATGGGAGACCTATGGGTTTTAGTGAGGCAGCGGTGGCTGTTGTGTAAACTGTTGTTGTGTCCTTAGGCAAGACACTTCACCCCCTATTCCTGATATGAACCTGCTATTATTATAACTGCTGTCATTAGCACTATTTTTACTACATGCTCATTCTGCTGCCTCTGTAACTCCTTCTACCACTAATTCTACTTTCCTGCTATTTCCTTGCCACACTGAGAGTTATTTTACTTGAAATGAGAAACCATTCAGAAATTCCTTGAAAGCTCCAACCCAATACAAATACAATACAAATAGCAACTGTTTAAAATTCTTAACAGTAGCTCAATATGGATAAATGTTGTTCTTGTTCTGTTCTGTTCTGGAATTATTTTAGCTGCTTTTTTAGGAAAGTGTGCAAGCCCTACAAAGCAAGCCAGAAAAAAGTGAGAGAACGTTTTTTTCTATTGTGATTATGTTTTTCTCTTTATTTCACATTTTTACTCTGCCTATTTTTGCTTCAGCCGCTGGTCCTGTATGTGTTTCAAATGTTCAAACTTATTTCACAATCACTATGTTTCCATCCATCCAGGAGCGACAGTAGCTCAGTTGGTAGAGCATTGGCCTTAAGGCCAGAAGGTCGTGGGTTCATTTCCCACCTCTGCACCTTCTCCACCGACTCCCACTGATGACTGCTGTCGTTGTGTCCTTGGGCAAGACACTTAATCCCACTTTGCCCAAAGCCCCCGCTGAAAGATCAAGGCTATGCTCACACTCAGAGAGCAGCCGTCCTCCTGTGGACTCACCACCTGCAGAGGGTCAGTGAGGGGCTGGTGCTATGAGACTTGGGTGGCATCTCTGACTGCCACCCCCCTGACCCAGAAATGGATTAAAGGGTAGAAAATGGAAATGGATGGATGGATGGACATTAGACTAAAATCGCCTTCATAAAACCACGTCCAAACACTTTTTAATGTATAGTTTATGTTACTGTTGTTTTGATAGGTCTATGAAGTTTGGAAAGTGAAGATGACGTCTCCAATGGTTCAGTTCTGTATGTGGAATGAGGGGGCTCGGGAAGCAGGTCGTGACCCTGAATTACTGTGCCTCGGCGGATGACAAAGACCCCCTTTCACCCACCGTCACCTGGGCCTATATCTACTCAGGAGGTACCAGACATCACACATATTTAATTATAGCAGAATACCTCTCCTTATCTTTTCTCTTCCTGTTGTGTCACATATCTGTAAGTTTTCTGTCTGAGACCCTCCACCTGCTTGTCCCCATGGAGCTTGCCTTACTGTACATACAGTAGTTACAGGTCAGTTGTCTGGAGAGACGATCTGTACTGTGCTGTTTTGACATTCACTCAACATTAGCATTAGCACACCACACTCACTGGTAGCAACCTACGATGTAGCTACAACCGCCCTGGGGCAGACTGGCGGAGCGAGGTGACCAGTCTGTGTCACTCACCCACACATTTACATTAGGCTGGGTTAACTCAAGGACACTCATCTCATGTCCGTGCAGCCACACCCAAAAAGGCTTAGTTCCAGATTTGTGAGGGGTTCGAGGATTGCCCTGCTGTTATTTTAACTGATGTGATCAACTTTCTATATCATTGTACTCTACAGCAAAAGGAAAACACAAGTTCATGTGGTTCTCTCAAGTATTTGTCAGTTTGCTTTTTAAAACATTGTTAACTCCAGGACTCCAGGTTCACTAAACTTGCCTTAGTCGTGTCACAGAGACAGGATGAATGAATCCTGTATGGATCACCGTCAAAGATGTATGTAAGTAAGTATCCTGAATGTGACCCCAGTCACCTCATGTTTTCTCATGAGTCTTGATCTGGACAGTTCAATGTTTACACATTTTGGGAAAAATATGGAATTTAAATTAGCTCCAATATATTATACGGTCCGACTAAACAGTGCACCTCTCATTTCACATCTTCCCAAAACCCGCTTTGGGCTGTATTGACAGTGTTTAATCTCTTTGTTCTCAAGTGTGGGTCACTCACAGCCAGCTAAAACCTAATGCCAGGCTGAAAACCTGGCCAAGAATGTGACTGGTCAGTACAAAGCAGTTTTACTGTTGGAGCAAAGGGTTTGTGATATCCTGGAATGACACAGTTGATGGTTATTTTATAATGAGCAGCTTGAAATGTGATTTATTCTTATAAATATCAGTACAAACTGAAACTGAAATATCAAAATATATAACTTTGTGGAGGTGAGTTTGAGGAAGATGCCAACTTCAATTACACCACAATTAAATGAACCCAACACACACACACCACAATAACTGTTGGTGTAGCTGCATGTGGCTCTGGGGGTCGTGGCCATTCTAATGTAAAGTGAAGGTGCGTCAGTGGCCAGAGCAGGCCACACAGGTCAGTGGAGTGACTTAAAAAAGTGCCTGGGAGAGTGATGCTGCTGATGGGACAGAGGGGAGGGAGAGGGCTTCAGGTTTCAGCCTCACAGGGGGTCAGGGGGAAGGACTGGCATCTCTGAATATACCAAGATCCATACAAGGCACAGTGGACATAAAACCGCGGTACTTGCCCTGACGCGGTGGGTGCAGAGTGCCAGCCGGGGCCCCGCGTCTTTTGGATTCCTCTTAGAGTTGGGAGGTCGGTCCATGTTGCCTTAAGTCTCTGGATCACACGCCACACATCACTGACTGACCGTCGACTGGACTCAGCGTCCATTCTCACTTCTTACCCTGAGCTATTGCATGTCTAATATTTAGACATGTTTGGCTTTGTGGACTCACGGACTCTTCTGCTACTTGTAGCATCCCAAGTTGTATTACTATCTGTGGTGACATGTCAAGAGGAGGATGACCGTAAGTTTGATTCATTCTTTTTAAAAGTATTTTTATGTTTCAAGGTGTTCATTGTCATTTTTGTTTGCATCTGTGTGTGTGTTGCTTTCTCTGTCCTTTTTAGTCTCAAAGTCCCTGTGTTTTAGCACCTGTTGTTAAGACAGATAGACAGCTGTAATAGCATTTTTTGCCTCCCAGTCTATAGAGCATTCGAACATGGTGTGCCCAAGACTTTTATGTGCTTTGAATGGTAGTTTAATCTGGTAATCACCCATGTTTTGGATGTCAAAGCTCATTAGGTTCAAACAACAGGCTGCATTCACCTCATGTAACTTTTATTAAGTCATCAACCTGGCAGTAAATTAGATATTCCAACTAATCTCTAATCTTCTCTGAAATCGTCTAAGAGCAGATAGGAGGAACTAGTCCTGACCTCCGCCTGAAGTTGCACAGTGCACAGTGAGGTGATTGTTACATTTTAGATTCCTGACCGGGTGTGACGGCTGCTGATGCAAAGTGATGAGGTCAGACTAGGCTTGACCCCAGTCCTACAGGCTCGCAGGGAGCAAAGAGACAAGATGCACTCGGCAAGAGGTCAACAGATGAACTCAGTATTATTAGCAGCCCGGACAAAACCTGTCTGAAATTAACTTTCACAGCACCTGGCTTGTGGTCGTAAACATGCACCGACTCAAAAACGAGGAGAAACCGGATGTAAACACAGAGTAGACTGTGATTAAAAAGGACAACAGGTCTACATCATCCAAGTTTAGAATTATATAAAATCACAAAGCTGGGAGCACTCCCCGAAGTAGTACGTTTAACAGGTTTATGAAGGATTGGAGAAAAAAACCCTGATTGGAAGTTATAATCGTTTTTATTATACTTTAAGTCAGCATCATAACTTAAACTGGAAAACCATATGAATGCTCCTTCTGTGTCTATGAGTGAAATGACTTAGCAACAGCATAGCAACCACAGTCTGCCATATAGAAAACAGTAGCACAGTGAATGATAGTGAATATTTTGTAGCATTCTTTATAAGAGGAAGACATCGTTCTTACATGAAACAAGTCCGGTCTGTCTACTTAACTCCCTGCTGTGTTTGAACTGGCACTTGACACCAGTCTGATTTCCAGATGGAGAATTTTTCGAAGGACCCCATGTTTACTTAAGGCAGCAGCTTGTCAATTGGGCACAGTATGTGGATGAGAGGGCTTCATTCATACTCTGAGCCGCACAGGCCCGGCAGGTTCCATTTACCCTGCAATAACTGTAGACAGCTTTTGCAATAACACAAACCGGTTCTTTTACACGCATTTAATCAGATTCTGTATTTGAATGTCGACTGTGTTTGACCGTTGTCGTCTTTTGGGAATTCTAAAGCTACGCAGTGCAGTTTGGCTTTGCTTTGCTTTATGTCCAATGCATCTTGCTAAACACATGTTTTTATAAGAACTTGTGTTTTTGCTGCTTTCTTAATATGTCTATTTAAAACGGATTTCCTAAACTTTGTCATACCTGGACCCCGTGTTCACAGCTCCTCCTCTTTTGCTCTGACTCCTCCCTCCTGCCATCTGACCTCGTTCTATGCTTCTCTCATCTTCATAATTGCCCCTAAATACCCCCCAACCCCCTCCTCCTCCTCCTTCCCTCCCTTTGCACATAATATTCTAACATGCTCTGCTATCACTCTTGGCCCCCCTCTGCTGGCGGCTGCAGAGATGGCAGGCGGCTGCATCCAGGATGGGCAGCAGTACAATGATAAAGATGTGTGGAAGCCAGAGCCGTGTCGTATCTGCGTGTGCGACAGCGGAGCGGTGCTTTGCGATGAGATTATCTGCGAAGACGTCAGAGAGTGCGCCTACCCAATCATCCAGCCCGGAGAGTGCTGCCCCATCTGCCCCGCTGACGCAACTGCACCCATTGGTTGTAATTTATTTATTCACAAAACCTATAAATAAATTACTGTCGCTTTCACCTCAAAAGAAAACATCCTCTTGCTTATAAGCGCTGAGTGTAAATCTATATACATTTATTCATGATTTCAAATTGACCAAGCACTCTCGCCTGTTTATCAAGTGATGCTTTCTCTTTGGGCGTGTGATTTGGATGGATACCAGAGCACTATCTGTATTAGAAGTGAGAAGCTGATGCGTTCCCTGGTCCCCATTCAAACCAATACAAAAGCTTTTACTCAATATAACATGCTGCTATGTACAGAATGTTTGCACTTGCACTGGTGCTATATATGTGGATGAATTGAATGGATACAGGCTTTGAAGCAATGCAAAACTAACATCATAGGCCTGGTTCATTACAGTGATGGAGGTTTTACTTATACAAAGAGACGTCTGTACAATATTAGGCTTTATAGAAATGCTAATATAAAGTTTTGTGTTTCACTGAAATGCATTGTGAGATTACTTTGGCATAAATCATTTCAATTACAAGTCAACGTTTATCATCATTTTCTATCTGTCCTTATTATCTTTTTACTCTGGGACACTTTTAATCTTATTTTTTCTCTCTTTCATCAATTACCTGGCAACCACAGAAACACTTGGTGCTAAGGTAGGTCCTTCTCTAAAGCCACAACTAAAATCTCCTTAGAGCCTATTTTTTATTCATTTGTCTTACTTTTGCAGGGCCAAAAGGGTGAACCAGGAGATATTGCAGATGTAAGTCAATAATCGAACATCATTCCCAGTACAATACGTAAACAGCATTTAAAATACCAATACTATTTGGTGCTCAACATTATAATCCCCAAACGTCCTGGTCACTTGTCTTGCATTATAAAGTTCATTACCAGCGATGGACCTTTAATTTGATATCTCATTAAGGGGATAACTCTGCATTCCTTTTGCATAATGAACCGGTTCAAATCCTCTCAGATCTCCTGTCGCACAAATGCACATGTCCAAAGAACTATGTCTCTGCAAGCACAGGTCAAGACAGGGTGATGTTTTTACCCGAGTTGGCCCTGTCAGCTCCCATTCATTATACAGCTGTTGTGGCTTATGCCCAATATCCAGAAAGAATTTATTATAGTTTGCTTGACTTTACACAATAGCAGCAGCTTTCTTTAATGTGTGTTTGTGTTGTATAGGTTGTAGGACCAAGAGGACCACCAGGGCCTATGGTAAGGATTTAGGAATACAAAACAAACATATATATTCTAAATTCGAAGTGAATGATTTTGATTAAATGTGTTCTAATCTTCAGGGCCCATCAGGCGAACAAGGATCTCGAGGCGAAGCTGGCCCAAAAGGCGACAGGGTAAGAAATCTAAAGATAAATTGTACCATAATTTTGAATCATTAATATTAACTAATGCTCTCATACCATTTGGTTTATTCACAGGGAGTTCCCGGACCCCGAGGAAGAGATGGAGAGCCTGGCACCCCTGGAAACCCCGGCCCCGCTGGACCACCCGGACCACCCGGACTTGGAGGAGTGAGTCTGCACACAAGCATAAGATCGGGACGCTCTCTATAACTTTGTATATAGTTTGATTCAGTTCAAAACAGTGTGTCGGATCGCAGCTCGCTCAAATTTCATATATCAATTTGATCAGTAATTGGCTATCCTAGGCCAATCAGATCAGAGGTGCAGGCTGTCGGAGGCTTCCATTAGTCAAAAAGTAAACACAAAAGGTTAAAAAGCATTGTTTAAAAAAAATAGTTGTCTATAATCCCTTCACATTCTCATTTAAAAGTTTTGATACTATTCCAAACTGTACCATAATGCCTTATATTAGACTTGACTTATTGTAATTATTGCATATTTGTGTCTATCTTATAAACAATGCCACAGTCTGATCCAAGTGTTTGCCTTCCACAGAACTTTGCTGCTCAGATGGCCGGTGGATTCGATGAGAAAGCTGGAGGAGCTCAGATGGGCGTGATGCAAGGACCAATGGTAAAAAAAAATAGATTATAATTCATAAGATTGTGAGAAAATCATCATAATATCCACATAAGTATTGTACCACTCTGATATCAAATACTGCCCCCTTGTGGTTGTATGTTTCCTTAGCTTATAGCTGCTTGAAAAAGGTAATAATTTGGTTTAGATTTGAATAAAGTTGAGGCTAATAAAACCAGCAAAAAATTATAAACTATATATCACCATACAGCTTACATTGTCATATATGTGGGTGCCAAAAGTACTTCTATTCAAATAATAGATAATACAGCTTTATTCACTTGAAAATGAAAACAAATGATGAATGATTTTGTTGTTTTTGTTTTCAACAGGGACCTATGGGACCACGTGGACCCCCTGGACCAACTGGATCTCCCGTAAGGACTGAATTTATAAGCCTGCAAACATAATTTACTTTAGTTTTGTTTATGAATTTGCTAAATATTACACTGTGTGTTTCTTTTCCACAGGGACCTCAGGGTTTCCAAGGTGCACCTGGTGAGACTGGAGAGCCCGGACCTTCTGTAAGCATCAAACAGACCCTGAGTATGGATTCATCTGGTCGTATTCATAATTAACTCATCCCATTTTTAATTAAATCACAGGGAGCAATGGGACCTCGTGGACCACCCGGACCATCAGGAAAACCAGGAAGTGATGTAAGTTTGCTGGCATAAAGGTCAATAGTCAGAATGTATGCCTTTGAGATGGTTCTATGAAGCCATTTTACATCATATCAAAACAGAAACTACTAAATGCCCTTTACATACCGTGATTTTGGACTCACTCAGGTCCATTTGAGTGTCTACTAAAAGTAACCAGTCTTCACAATAAATGGCTTGACTCATTCACAAAGCATGAGTGAAAAGAAGCAAAAAAAAACAACTCAAAAAAATTGGCCAATAAATCATACATTTTACCAGTGGATGTGAACTTATCTGCACATCTGTATTTAAATGTCATGAGTTGACTATTGTCTTTAGCACATCATTCGTGTTCACCTAGTGCTGATAATGCTAGTAAAACTCATGATTTCGGAATATTCCTATTCTGGAGGAAGACTTAAACTTGAGGCTATATTTGCTGCGACAGAATGTGCTGACTCCTTATGATGGTGAGCATACTTAACATACAGTCATTGATGCAGTGATTTTAGTTTGAAGAAAAGAGCTGAAAAGTGTTCTCTAGCTTTGACTTGATACACACTTACAGGCACACATGTTTGTTTTCAGGGAGAGGCTGGAAAACCTGGCAAAGCTGGTGAGCGTGGACCCGCTGGACCACAGGTGGGGACCTTTATATTATCAGAATTTATATAATTAAAACCATTTTGAATCTACAAAAGTAAAACCTTCACTTATTTCACAGGGAGCTCGTGGTTTCCCTGGAACTCCTGGACTTCCTGGAATCAAAGGACACAGAGTAAATAGCCTCATACTTTATATATGTTTAATTTTATGATACGAATGAAAGATCTGATGCATTGGGATTTGTTTTTCAGGGTCACCCCGGTTTGGACGGAGCAAAGGGAGAAGACGGTGCTGCTGGAGCCAAGGTGGGACCAAAAACATAATACATTAAAAGTATGAATTCGTTTTTTACCTCATGTCTTGCTATTTTCTCCTTATTTAGGGTGAGACTGGTAGTGCTGGAGAGAACGGAGCCCCTGGACCAATGGTACGTTTGAACAAAATGTCACTATAATTCCTCAAAGACAATGAGAATTATTATTGTGAAAAGAGAGAGTTTACATAATGCAATGTCATATAACGATGGAATATGTTATACTTTCAAACAAGCTCAGATCAAAAAAGAAGACTAATTTGGACTGAAATATTCATGATATCATAATACTTTGTCACTAGTTGTAATACAAATGGAAAACTAAATACAAAACTCAATGTTCTTTCTTTCTGTCCTTAAATGTATTTTCTTTCCATTGACTTTGTTGAGTTTAGTTTTAGCACTATGGTCTAATTAAAGCTATGTTTAAAAAAACGTTTTGATTTGAAAAGTGATTCGAGGTTACAAAATTCTCACGATCATTTGTTGACAAGATGTATTGTTACCAATTAATTTTTGAGCAAAGTTAAGTGTATATGTTCTTGTGTGTAGGGCCCTCGCGGTCTGCCCGGTGAGAGAGGACGTCCCGGAGCCGCTGGAGCTGCTGTGAGTGAATTCTCCCTAAAAATTAAATCTAGTTTGTACCTGCTTACAAAGAAAGATTCCAGACCGATTCATGGTTTCATCTTGTTCTCCACTGTAGGGCGCTCGTGGAAATGATGGCCTGCCCGGTCCTGCTGGTCCCCCTGTAAGTCCAATTGAAATCCATTTGAATATTTTCTATACCGTTTGGAACAATGTGTTATAATTGAACCCTCAACTCTTTTGTGTCCAGGGGCCTCTTGGTCCTGCTGGAGCACCCGGTTTCCCAGGATCCCCAGGAGCTAAGGTTTGTTAAATATATTTTTGTAAGATATTATATATAAGATAATATCCATGCATGTCCAGTTGGTTGTTTTAGTTTAGTAATGATGTCAATGTCATGATTAATGTGACACAAACATCACTAATATTATTGTTTTTAACCAAACAACAGTGTTCTTGATCAAAACCATCTTCAAGTGACCTGATTGAAGTGAACGTGATTTCAACAGATTTGGTCTGGACATGCTGCAGTGAGGCCTGATTATAAAGGACTAGATCTAATACATTTACCACAAATATGATTTGATGCTTGTTGTGCTGGATACTCTCCATAGTCACTGGAGAATCCCTATAGTCACCCCAAGTGTGATGTCATCATGGAACTTCCTGATTTCACTTCCTGTTATTTTCAATATTTTATTCACACACTGTTTCCTGATTGGTGCAAAACTCTCTTTTATATTTACTGCCTCCCCACATTGTCAATCATCCCAAAAGAGATATTTTACAACATCTATTTAGAATGGAGGACTAATGTGTTTATGTGAGGTTTTAGTTTAGTTTGACAGTAGATCCATATTTGTGACAAGTTACCGTTGAATAATAATGTAATATTTGTAAATGCTGTGGTTTTAGGGAGAAGCTGGTCCCACTGGACTTCGTGGATCTGAAGGGGCACAGGGACCTAGAGGAGAGGCTGGTACACCCGGATCTCCTGGACCCGCCGGCGCTTCTGTGAGTCACTGCTGCAGCTTCACTTAGGGTTAAAGTTACTTAAGTTACTGCCCGCTGTGCCATATGTATCTATGTATGCTCTTTTGAATCTCAATCCCTAATGTTTGAGATTAGTTCTTGATACATTTCAAACTAAGAAACAACATTTTTACAGTGATAATACATAAATAAATAAATAAATAAATAAACATTTTAGACTGTAATCTTCAACACATAATAATAGTAATTTCATGGTATTACCCTGTACTCTTGAACCCGCCATGACAACATCAAGTAAAACACAAGTATATGTTCCTGAAACTTTAACTTCTGTCAAAATACAAAATCGTAACATTGTATTTATCAATGTATTTAACCCTCTGATAATGTGGTGGGTGAAGTGTGGTTTCCAATGATAACCAGAAAGGGAAGTGTTTCTTCTGCTGAGTGATATTTATGTTTGCTGTCCTTGTGTTTCAGGGAAATCCTGGTACTGATGGTATTCCTGGAGCCAAGGGATCTGCTGTAAGTCTCTGTCTACTCTTTGTTTCCTGTGGTTTTTTATTTCAACTTAACCTGATGTTGTATTTTTTGTGTTAGGGTGCCTCTGGTATCGCTGGAGCACCTGGTTTCCCTGGCCCTCGTGGCCCTCCTGGACCTCAGGGAGCGACTGGTCCTCTGGGGCCAAAAGGACAGTCTGTGAGTCTTAACATCTATCTGTTAAAGAATCTCAGAATATACTTGATATATACTCTATACTCTAATATACTCTACTTTAAACTCACTGTACCTGCAAGAGGTTAAGCGTTGAAACCTCTCAGTAGGTGATGTAGATGTAGACGTAAAAGTCCTGAAATAGAAATCAAACTCTGAATATAGGCCAATTTAATTATTATTCTGGGCAGCGATCATATCCATGTCCCACATATTCAAATGAAGATGTGGTTTATTACCTCCTTCTCTCTGTAGGGAGAGCCTGGTCTTGTTGGATTGAAGGGAGAGACTGGCCCCAAAGGAGAGCTTGTAAGTATCTTTTTAACCTATAACATATTATTATATTTTATTGTCACTCTTTACTGAAATGCTGCTGTTATCCAGGGCCCAGGTGGTCCTCAGGGTCCCCCCGGCCCCTCTGGTGAAGAGGGAAAGAGAGGAGCCAGAGGAGAGCCTGGAGCTGCCGGACCCCTCGGACCTCCAGGAGAGAGAGTAAGCCATAATCATCACTGTACACGTTATATTTATATGTATTTGTATATTTATCATTCTGACCACATCTTGACCATATCTGTTTAGGGTGCACCTGGTAACCGTGGTTTCCCAGGTCAGGATGGTCTTGCTGGTGCTAAGGTGAGTGTAAACACAAATGGACATTAGACACAAATGATAAGTCTGGAACATTCTATAGTCCAGGCCTGATCTGGTCTCTTTTCCACTGCATTCTTGACTTAATTTTTTTTTTTTCAATTTCACACGCACAACTTGATTATTTAGTGTCATTTTTGCTTCATGCTTGAGACCGTGAAAGCACTGCTTGATTAGAAAATACAACATGAACTGAAAGAGTGTAAAGTGGTTAAACACCTCCCTCTAGTGGTATAAGTGGGAAATAACATGGTGCTTTTTTAGTAATTACATCAAAAACAGCGTCGTATGATTGAGTATACAGAATGTAACTGGACTATACAAACTCCCATACATACATTAAATGGTTATCTGTGAGAACTTATGCCTAGTTTGTGTTTGAGCTTTTAGACTTTTAGACTTTTAAGTTGGACTACAGAGTGTGGTGATGTAGGCTCTGCTCTGTGCATCTTAAACAGTACTGTAATTATGGATATTCCTTAATATCAGTGGAATGGATTATGGATATTCACAATAACTCTAAAATACTGATTATTTTTGTTTATCATCATTGAATATGTCTCAGCCTTAAGAGCAGGAAATGTTTTAAGAAATAAGTGAGGACTGTATCAGCTCCAGTTATCAAGGCTATGCTCACACTCAGAGAGCAGCCGTCCTCCTGTGGACTCACCACCTGCAGAGGGTCAGTGAGGGGCTGGTGCTATGAGACTTGGGTGGTATCTCTGATTGCCACCCCCCTGACCCAGAAATGGATTAAAGGGTAGAAAATGGATGGATGGATGGATGTATCAGCTGCACGTTATTACAGAGGCCCGAAAATGTCTTACCCATTTGGGCTCACTGACTGTTTTGCACAGTCGGCTAAATGTATATAATATTATACTAATATTTCTTATTGAAGTCAACGCATGGAACAAAAGGTCTATAAATGGAACAAAAAGTCTATAAAAGGACAATGTACAATATGCAAAATATAAACCAAGTATATGGATACTTGGGGAACACCACAGAGGAGACAGATGTAAAACAATGTAAAACAGTTTGCTTTCAGTCTATGGTTCATCCTTGTGATTTCAACAGGGATCAATTATTAATATCAAGCTCTTAAATCATTCTCAAGGACTCTTTTTATCTTACCACTGTTTCTGTAAATCACTAAATGTCGACCATTATTAGGAGTTGCGTCTAATCTCTCATAACTACAGTGAATATGATAATCAAAGGCACATCATATTGAATCACTATCTCTGAAAACAGAATTACATAGACCATCATCAGTGCCTATTTCTCAGTCTTTCAGTATATTATGTTATTTAGGCTTGTCATGCTTGTGGAAGAAGTAAAAACACAATTATATATTATATCATAGGATTTGTAAGAACTTAATTGTATCTCCCATTTACTGCATTGTATCCTTATGACTTAGTTTGTTACTTACAATCTCACATTACTGAGGTTTGGCAGGTCAAAACATTATGCTCATACTGTAATAAATATGTGTAATGCTACAAATACTAGACTGTTTGTACATTCACATCCCATACCCCTGCTTTCTGGTCGCTAATGCTCTCGTCTCTTGCTGTATTAGGGAGCCCCTGGCGATCGCGGAGTTGCTGGAGCTACTGGACCCAAAGGAGGCACTGGAGACCCCGGCCGCACAGGAGAGCCTGGCCTCCCCGGAGCCAGAGTGAGTCTCCAACCATTATAATCTATTTGGCATTATATTCTTCTAAAGTGGTGGTAAACACTGTGAGCACATTCATGTACTCAAGATCTCTGTCTCCTGTAGGGCCTCACTGGGCGTCCTGGAGATGCTGGTCCTCAAGGCAAAGTTGGACCTTCTGTAAGTTTCCTTCTTCTGTTTTTTTTATTCATAATAGGTCAAATTATCCGGCTAAATTAGTCCTGGCCAAGTTAGTTCTGGGTGGTTCCTGGGGGCCTGACAGTTGCCCCAGTGAGAATTAAGTGTGGGTCAAATACAGAGGGTGATGGGGAGTTCTTTAATGCTGTGGGTTCTTAGCAGTGCAGCCATTCACCAAGGGCAGAAACAGACAGATTTAGAATTAGAGCAGGATAACAATTACTACTCCAGCTTTGTAAAAAGCATTCTTATGACCAAGTAAAGGGTTAGTAAAGTAAAGTCAATAAGACATTGGTTTAAGGACAACATTTCATCACCAGATCACATTTATTCCAATTATTTATGTATACATTTATTTTGTTCTAATGTAACAGCATTTATCATACATCAATAAACTGGTGTGAGGATCATAATGTTGCTGAGTCATAGTCACCGTCTCACTGGGCTGTTTGTCCTCAGGGAGCTGCTGGTGAAGATGGCCGCCCTGGTCCCCCTGGTCCGCTGGGAGCCCGAGGACAGCCTGGAGTCATGGGATTCCCTGGACCCAAAGGAGCCACTGTAAGAATTTTGGATTAAACTGTATATGTACATGCCAATTCATCCATCCTTTACTGTATACCAGTACACATGTGATGTCACAGCTTGTACTTACAATTTAGTAAAATGTGCCCCATTTATTTTGAAGGGTGAACCTGGAAAGCCTGGTGAGAAGGGTCTTGTGGGTCGCCCTGGTCTGAGAGTGAGTACAACTAATAAACATCTTTATTATTGAATAATTAATGGATTCATGAAGTAACCAGGGCAAATGATTCTTTACAGGGACTGAGTGGAAAAGATGGTGAGACTGGCCCCAGTGGACCTCCTGGACCTGCTGTGAGTCTCATTTACTGCATTACACCAGACTTTGTTCAAAAGCAATTACAGGACTTTGAACTGACGATGTGATTATTTCAGGGACCTGCTGGAGAGAGGGGAGAGCAGGGACAGACTGGAGCCCCTGGCTTCCAGGTACATGCCTGACCCAGAGGACAGATCACAGAAATCTGTAATTACATATGTGTTATATACGTTACCATCAACACTGTTTGTGCACAGGGTCTTCCCGGACCGACTGGAGCTCCTGGAGAGGGCGGAAAGCCTGGAGACCAGGTGGGTTTATACCAGATAACTACAGGATCTATGTACAGTATTTACACAGTACATGGAATAATGACATTATAACTGTCTCTTTAGGGTCTTCCTGGTGAGGGTGGAGCTCCTGGTGCTGTTGGAGCCAGAGTGAGTAGACACACTCATACACATATCCAGTGCATTTACATGCTGTAATCTCGACACTGATAGTAAATGCACCTGTCCCTCTGTTGCACAGGGTGAGCGTGGTTTCCCTGGAGAGAGGGGCGGAGCCGGACCTCAGGGTCTGCAGGGACCTCGTGGACTTCCTGGAACTGCTGGAACTGATGGACCCAAGGTCAGAGAGGGTTCTTTTATATATATTTTTAAATACTGATGTTGTGTATGAATGAATGTTTCCGGTTTCTCAGGGAGCTATTGGACCGGCTGGATCTCAAGGAGCACAAGGCCCCCCTGGTCTGCAGGGTATGCCTGGAGAGAGAGGTGCAGGTGGCATCCCAGGACCTAAAGGAGACAGAGTAAGTGCTTAAGTATTGCAGTATATAAGTGTACATAGTGCATATGATTAACACATATTGTCTTTGACCAGGGAGACAATGGTGCAAAGGGACCTGAGGGAGCTCCTGGAAAGGACGGTTCTAGAGTAAGTGTCGAAATGACCAGTGGATTCTCTAGGTCTTACCTCATGTAACCTCCATCTGTGCTTTCTTCAGGGTTTGAGTGGTCCTATTGGTCCTCCTGGTCCATCTGGTCCTAATGGCGCTAAGGTATGATCCTGTTGTGTGTGATATATAAGATGTAAAGGTCCTCTGTTGTTACCTGCTTTCTCATGTGTCACTCTTCATCTTTCCTCTGAACAGGGTGAGACTGGACCTAGTGGTGTGAGCGGTGCTCCTGGAGCTCGTGGTGCACCTGTAAGTAACTCCCAATCACAGTTATATGAAGCTCAAATGCAATCATAAATATTCATGAAGAGCTAAAAGTGCTGTGTCCTGTTCAGGGTGACCGTGGAGAGGTGGGTCCTCCTGGCCCTGCTGGTTTCGCTGGACCTCCTGTAAGTTACATTTCCTGTTTTTCATCATCTCTTCATGATCATTTCCATGTTGTGAACTGTACCATGTTTGGTGCTGCAGGGTGCAGATGGTCAGCCCGGACTTAAAGGAGAGCTTGGAGAAAGTGGACTTAAGGGAGAGGCTGGTGCCCCTGGACCTCAGGGACCCTCTGGAGCTCCTGGACCTGTTGTAAGTAGTGAAGTGTAGAAGAGTATATTTCCTGTATACAAGTGTTTTAAAGAGGGCCGGGTCACATTTGGCACCAGAATGAGTGAATCTGTAACAGTTATGATAATAATAAAGTATTACCTAGCCCTCATATGTGGGAATGTGTGAAACAATCAGATTCAAATGATTGACGATTGGGATATGACTGTAATGCTAACGCAGCATTTACTCTGCATCAAAAGTGTGACTAATGTTAGATTAATAACAAACCAAATCTGGACAAGAACAGGACTAAACCAGTTTATTCTTGTTTTCCAACTGTGATAATAATAGGACCAGAAAGTGACCTAAAATCTTCATGTCATGTCAAACATTGTGTTTATTTTTTGTATTTCTTTGCAGGGACCCACTGGTGTTTCTGGACCTAAAGGCGCTCGTGGTGCTCAGGGTGCTCCTGTAAGTATTTATTTTTAGAGGTAAATTAAATAGAACTCTATGATTAATATATGATATAATGCACAAGACTAGATGAGGAGAGAAGGATGGAATGGTCAGAATCGCAAGGCTGATGTTTCTGCTGCTGCAGTCCAGTTATACCAATATTGTCACATTTACTGAATGAGGCAAGAACACCCATGAAGAAAAGCCAGCTGTATACAAAGTTCAATACACTAAAGAGAATGTCACTTATGATTGTGACACATTATTTTAATATTGCCAGCTGTCAATGGAAACTATGCAGGAGTTTGGGAAGAAAGTTATCCTGTTGAACTGACAATTCAGTGTTTGTTGACAGGGTGCAACTGGTTTCCCTGGTGCTGCTGGCAGAGTTGGTTCACCTGGACCTAATGTAAGTATTCACTTCAAGAAGATTTCATTGACACACCAATATCAGTGTGCAGAAGGAGATTTTCCTGCTTTTCCTGTATTGAATAAATCTCTATTCAGGGCAACCCTGGACCCGTGGGACCTCCCGGAGCCAGTGGCAAAGATGGACCTAAAGGAGCTCGTGGAGATGGAGGACCCCCAGGAAGACAGGGAGATGCTGGCCTGCGTGGACCCGCTGGAGCTCAAGGAGAGAAGGGAGAGGCTGGAGAGGATGGACCCCCTGTGAGTGCAGAAATAAATGATTATTTAGAATGAGATTCTATGTAAGATTTTCTTCAGGTTAACGAATGTGTAAAAAACTAATATCACTTGGTTAAACTGTTACAGACAGACCTTATGAACATAAAAGAGTAATATGGAGACTGTAATGCTGTGTGCAGGGAGCTGATGGACCTTCAGGGCCTATGGGTTTGGCTGGATCTCGTGGTATTGTGGGTCTGCCTGGACAGCGTGGAGAGAGAGGCTTCCCTGGTCTGCCCGGACCATCTGTAAGTGTTAGCTGCTGTGGCTGTAGAGCCATGTTTGTATTACATTACATTGATGACCTGCAAGATGATATTACATCTTGCAGGTCATCACTTTGTCTCAAGTGAAGTGTTAACTATTATGATGACTCAATTCAATGAATCAATGTTTGGACTTGACACCAAAGACTTGCTTGAGCAAAGTCCCACTTCTGCTTATTTTACATGCATCTCTAATATTGTTTTCTGTCTTCAGGGTGAGCCTGGAAAGCAAGGAGCCTCAGGAAGCGCTGGAGACCGAGGACCCCCTGGACCTGTCGGACCTCCTGGACTCACTGGACCTGCTGGAGAGACTGGCAGAGAGGTCAGACAAACAAAAACCAATCTTCGTACACAGATCCCAGCAGGATTATCCCCAAACTAATTAATTTTAACTGCTGAATAAATCAATGTTGTTCTTTTATTTCAGGGAAATCCTGGGTCTGATGGACCTCCAGGCAGAGATGGATCTACAGGAATCAAAGTGAGTGACACTGTGGTGTTTTCAACACTATTGTTATTGATGATAGATGCACCATTCATTTACTTTGCTGTTCTCAGGGAGAGCGTGGTAACACTGGACCTGCTGGAGCTCCTGGTGCTCCTGGATCCCCCGGCGCCCCAGGACCTGTGGGACCTTTGGGCAAACAGGGAGACAGAGGAGAGGCTGTAAGTATGACACCAGAGAGAGGAGATAGATACAGAAACATCTGAACAACACTAACTGCTGCTGCTCTTTCAGGGCGCTCAAGGACCTGGCGGACCCCCTGGACCTTCTGGAGCCAGAGGCATGGCTGTAAGTGTAGACATGACTACATGTGTTTATTACATCAGTGCATTTGTATTAAGATATATCTTATATCCTGCAGGGACCCCAAGGACCCCGTGGAGACAAGGGTGAGGCTGGAGAGGCTGGAGAGAGAGGACAGAAGGGTCACCGAGGGTTCACTGGTCTGCAGGGTCTGCCTGGACCTCCTGTGAGTCATCCAGCCTAATCTTCAGAGTCTATATAGTCTCTTATATATCATTAATGTGTGGTTACATGTAGGGTCCTGCTGGTGACTCTGGATCTGCTGGACCTGCTGGACCAAGTGGAGCTAAAGTGAGAAAACCATACCATGACAGAGCTTTGTTACATCACTTTTGTTAAAGGCTTTATGATGTATAACAAAACGTCTGTTGGTGCTCAGGGACCTTCTGGACCAAGTGGACCTGCTGGTAAAGATGGAGCCAATGGACAGCCCGGCCCCATCGGACCTCCCGGACCCCGCGGTCGCTCTGGAGAGTCCGGTCCAGCTGTAAGTGACATTTGTACGGCTCTTGCCCAGAGCATTTGAACCGCACCTTCTCTGTACTTATTAGCTGCTCTATGTTTTAGGGTCCTCCCGGAAATACTGGCCCACCTGGTCCTCCCGGACCCCCTGGCCCTGGCATCGACATGTCTGCTTTCGCTGGCTTGGGTCAGACTGAGAAGTCTCCTGATCCTCTGAGGTACATGAGGGCTGATGAAGCCTCCACATCCCTCCGACAGCACGATGTTGAGGTGGACTCCACACTCAAGTCCCTCAACAACCAAATCGAGAACCTGCGCAGCCCTGATGGCACCCAGAAGAACCCAGCTCGCTCCTGCAGAGACCTGAAGCTGTGCCACCCTGAGTGGAAGAGCGGTGAGTCATGAGAGCAGAGACTCGAGGCTCTGTAGTGTTCCCATAGAGCACTTTCATGTATGGACTTGAAAGGGATTTTGACTTGTTATTGAGTAACAATACTTGGACATGTCTTCAGGTGAATACTGGATTGATCCCAACCTTGGAAGCACAGCCGATGCCATCAAGGCCTTCTGCAACATGGAGACTGGAGAGACATGTGTGCAGCCGACCATCGCCAGTCTGCCCAAGAAGAACTGGTGGACAGCCAAGAGCAAGGACCGCAAACACATCTGGTTTGGAGATATGAATGGAGGATTCCAGGTAAATTAATATAACATCACTTATGTACGCAGCGTTCACTGAGGTTACTAACATGTGACGTGCTCTGCTCTACAGTTCAGCTACGCTCAGAACAGCCCCTTCGCCACAGTGCAGCTCAACTTCCTGAGACTGCTGTCGACTGAAGCCTCTCAGAACGTCACATACCACTGCAAGAACAGCATTGCCTACATGGACCAGGCCTCAGGGAACCTGAAGAAGGCCCTGCTGCTCGGAGGCTCCAACGAGGTGGAGATCCGCGCAGAGGGCAACAGTCGCTTCACCTACAGCGTGCTGGAGGACGGCTGCAAGGTAAGACACATGGTCCAGGAACACTGAGATTGCACTCAATGTTGCATCCTGATTTGAACCTATATTTTTGTTTCTTTCTCCAGAGACACACAGGCCGGTGGGGCAAGACTGTCTTTGAGTACAAAACAACAAAGACCTCTCGTCTCCCAATTCTGGACATTGCTCCTAGAGACATCGGAGGAGCTGATCAGGAGTTTGGAGTGGATCTAGGCGCAGTCTGCTTCTTGTAAAGTGAAAGATCATCAGCCCCTCCCAGAAGTACAGGAAATAAAAAAGCTGAACTATGAAAACCACATTTTCGACAATAAAGAAGACTGGAAACTCTAAAGAAAATTGATACTTTTTTCCGTCAAAACGAAGTGCTCTCCAAGTTGTACTCCCTGGATGTTAGCACTGAAGGGCACCGGCAATATCTGTACATTACACCATTCTCTGTCAACCCCCTTCCTGAGATCCAGTCATGTTTCCCATGGCAACTGTTGACGGGAATGAGCCAGAAGAAGAGGGACCAGGAGGAGTTACTGTTTGGAGAAACATGACTTGATGTCACTTATTTATTGTCTTAACATGAACGGCCAGAGATGAGGTAGGACCGGACAGTTCATTTTTGTAAGTATAGCCCTATTCCACTACGGGACAGCCAGCCCAGTCCTACCGCACCTCCCTCCCTCCCTGTGTCGCTCCTCACATAAAATGGCAGAGATCCAAAAGAAAGGCCTTAACTGTGTATAATAAACCCTGTTCTGTTGTTGTAAAAGTGTGTTTATAAGCAGCCAGATTGTGATGTTTGTGTCTATATGCACACCAACACTTTTTTATGAAAGTGAGGTCTCATTGGGATGTTCATGTCAACTGTTTAGAATATGGCATTGTTACCCAGTTTCCAAGCAAATTTAGATTGTAAAATAATTAGAGAAATGTTGCTGTCGTCATCTTTTTTTAATGCTACCTCACGCTTCAAATCAAAGTGAATTTCATCCCAAATTTGTTTTTTGCCTAATGGCCAATCAGGCGGCTGCTATGCCAACTTTGCTTTGGGTCGCTCACTTTCTCATTTCTAAAAGGTGCTATGATTTTCCCTCCTCAAACCTTCTCCCCTGTGTCCCACTAGCCTCACATTTCACACAGACAATCCACTCTGGAGCAGTAGGGGGCGCACTTTGCTTACTTCAAAGGGAGGGGTACAAAAACTATTCGAAATCGCATTATTTTTGCTGTCCAAAGCTGGTTGTGGGACTGTGAGGGCAGGCCCGAGCCAAACTAGGGTGGAGTGTCTGTGTTACTGTGAGGGCGTGTACATTTTTTAATTAATTTTATTATGGTATTTCTTTTTTGTTTTTATTTTGTTACACTTCTATTTGATGTAAATTGGAAATAAAAGGAAAACACAACTAAGAAAGATGTTGATTTTTTTGAATAAAACAGATTTGGCGTGGGGACATAGTGCTTTTTTTTCTATAGGTTTTTCCTTGTTGTCAAAGCTGTGATTGAGTGAGTGAGTGTGTGTGAAGTCTGGTGCAAGTGCGATCTTCTTCCAACTATAAACTCAAGTACTGTATCTGTAAAGCAAAAGGCGACTGAAAAACAACACTATTCGAGGCATTTTATATATTGGCAAAACATAGCATTTCTGCATCACTACTGCTGTCTGTACTGTGGCCAACTTCTCCCGTCTGTCTTGAGCAATAAAAATCTGACTTAAGCCTAAAAGCCTCCATTTTATCACACAATAATTATTCACCTGCCAAGGTGAATAATGCCACCAAGTTGTTTTTTCTTTGTCAGTGTAATTGTGCTAACTACAATTGTTAAAAAAAATAAATAAGGCAAAACAGACTTTAGGCTATTTTGAAAAGTTTTCCAAACATCGACTATGAAATGTTATAAATAGTAACTGATAATAATAATGCATGCTACTAGTGCTTTTCATGACACCACAAGTGACTCGTGAAAAATGACTGCAGTAACTATGGTTGCCCTAGGGCAGACTGACAGAAGCAAGGTTAACAGTCTGTGCCATTGGACCCTCTGACCAACACAATAATTCTCACACACAACTTATACTAGGCAATGTTGGTGAAGTGGCAGGACACTGGAGGTCACTCACGTCTCCCTTCACAGTATTAACCAGGCCCTGCCCTGCTTAGCTTTGGTATTCTGATGAGTGTTGCGTGCAGGTGGCGCCATGCATCATTATCGATATTAAAGCTTCGGAAAGTCATCATTCAAACATGGATTATACTGACTGAACATCACCATGGTAACCCCTCATCCTAACACCTTCTATTGATTTACTATTAAGGCCAGCTCTGACTTATAATGGTGCTGTGCCCATGGGCAACACATATTGCGTGCATGTCCTCTGAATGAGTGATGGGGGGCGGTGGTGTCAGTGCGCCCCCAGGCAGCTGTGGCCACTAAAGCAACACCAGCATGAGCATGAGGGATGAGCTGCAGCTACAATTAGTGCAATATGTGCAGAAGACACAGATCAAAGCCATGACTTCTAATCTGTCTTTTGTCTGTTTGGGAATGTACCAGGACTGAAGAGTTAGTCACAATTCAAAGAGATTCTTAATTTACATTTGCAGTGTTGGTGAGTAACGGAATACATATGTACTTTGAATATGTGTTCAGATTAGATTACTATTCATTAGCAACTGCATCGGAATACATTACTTTTCTTCATCAGAATCGGCAAGTTACTTTTCCAACATTTATGGATATTGATTAAGCAATCAAGAACATTTTTTCCCAAAGAAACAGATTAAAATGTAACTTTTTAGCTGCATGCGTAAGTCTGCAGCTAATCAGTTTTCTAATCGACAATTAAAAATGAAATACATAAAAAACTGCAGAAACGAATTTGTTCTATTCCTAGGCTGAATGTTCAAGATTTAATATTATAAAATTGAGCTTAAATATATTAAGTGTTCAGAATATAGTACTCAGATTGTACCACAAAATACTTTTTAAGACAAGGGTTCAGTATTCTGTAAATAACATTTTCTGTCTGTACCATCTCTCGCTTACAAGAAGATTGGATACATCTAGTGAACAAAATTCATATAATGGAACGTCTGACTTATGCCAAGTTTGTTTGCTAACATATACTACTCAATATGGGGTAAATGGTTGACATATTTTACCATAGCTTGAGTAGTGTGACTAGTATTCATGCAATATGTACTGTATGTGTAACCCAGCTCTTTCTACATCTGTATAATCTGATAACTGTACATCTGATAACTTATTGATTTACATTGAGACTTCTCCATGCTGACTGTATTTTTTCTTTGGTTCTTGTTTGCGTGTGTTTAAAAAAAAGTTTAGAAAAAAAAACAAAAATCCTTCTTGACATGAGGTGATACTTGTACTTGTGTGGAAGGAGGCGAAACAAAAACAAATACAAATCACACTTTATTCAACGAGGCATGTAGAAATGTACGGTGCAAAGTAAATCATTTGAAGTAGGCATTATCTCAGGAGAGCATTTCTGTGAACAGCGTCTGGTTGGCAAAGTCCGCTGGTCGTTCCTGGGGGCGTGGCAGAGACGGGCTTCCATTGAGACCAAAATGAGGAACGCCTGCACTCAGGAAATAGAAAGGAACGTGGGTGACTTTTCCGCTCGACCAGCACTGCAAACAAAGATGAAAGTTGTGTTTAGGGTGGCAGAAACGAAAATCTTATCCATTATTTAGTGGAAGATTCAATAATGCATACAAGAAGTGCGTTATTACTCCCGAGGCAAGGAAAAGAAAAACTAACCACAGTGAGGAGGGCTCCGTGTTGGAAATTTGGGTGAAATTGTATGAGTCTTGGTTCCGCTGCGGGCTCCCCCTGAACAAACCCACTACACCAGGCAGCGGCAAGAGTGAAGCAATTAAAAAAGGCTCACTTGTATTACGACGGTAAAAGGATTTTGAAAGTGGACAAAATGACAAACCACGGTAAAAGCTCAAAGACGGGACTGGTTCTGGTCTTAAACACTGCGATCATGGCAGGACGATCGGCCGCCTCTGGGTCTCCTGAAATCAGAAGCAATTTTCAAAAATATTGTTTATGCTTTTCATTCAAAATTCAGCAGATATCAAAGAAAAACAAAAAACAAAACATACAATCTGACGGGTGCTATCATAGACTGTATATACAGCGATAATGCTAACCCTCTAGGTCAATAAAGCCTAATAGGGAGGTGCTCATGGACAAAGTTTTGCTCCAACTTGCTCTCGCTCCTATTGACTTTGACATCTAAAAGTAAACTCATCTAGCACAGTAACCGTTTATGCCCCGCTCACCATTTTGGGTTTTAAAAATCTGTGGTTAAGCAATTTCTATGATTCTGGTGTTTTGGTAAACCCAGATATGAACCACAAAGACAGATCCCTTAATTTGTGGGTGAAACTCCAGTTTGCCTTAGCAACCATCTTAGCAACACGTCTTGTTGCCGTAACATGCCCAAATAAAAAACGTCTTAAGCTAGTTTATGTTCAAATCGGCTCATTCCGCATTCGGCTAACACTATGATGACGGCCGCACTCAGTCAGTCTACTCCTAATATACGCTGTGTGGCTTAATGTTTTTCATCACATACATTTTCTCCAAAAAGTTGCTCCATTGATTTGTTGTCAGAAGATCAGTATTTCAATCATTTATTATTTCTTACAAGCCATCAGCATTGAGCACTCACAACACTATAGACAGTTGGAGATCAAAGCTTTACTTCTGAATTGATTGAAAATGTTGGATACTTTGATGTATAGATTTGTTCCCTGTTGGAGGTACTTGCACAGCTTCATATAATATCACTTTTAATCTTCATCACTTTAAGAACCCTACATTCTACTGCCAAAGACCACTTTGAACACAAAACTGTACCTGTAAGAAGCACTGCCAGTCTCTCTCCTTTTGGGTCCCAGGCTAAACACTGGATTTCACCACCAACACTAGAAGAGAAAAGGTATATTTAAATGCAGAAGTGCAACTCTATATCTCTAGAGCAGGGGTCTCAAACCTGTTCCAGAAAGGGCGTAACCCTAACCTAGGAGCACAGATGACTCCACCCAACTCCTCAGGTGAGTCCAGTTTTAACCTGAAGATTTGAGGAAATGGGTGGAGTCTCTTGCTCAGTTTGGAACTGTTGGAAGTAAAACCTGCAGCCACATGGCCCTTTCTTGAACCGGTTTGAGATCCCTGCTCTAGAGGATCTGACACTTACATCAGGTCTCCGTCTTGTGTGTTGAAAGTTGTCTCCGAAAGATCAGCCACGACGGTCGCCGCGATTGGTCCGCTGACGGAATTTGAACAACCTGGGGATTTTTTTACTTTATTTTTTCAAACTGTATTCACACTGTACAGTATATCATTATTTAGTCACATATTTGAATGCCTATTTAAAAAAAACAACACTTTAGACTTTCAGAGATCGCCGACGCTATCTCTTAACGTTTTTATAAATCCACTCATTAACCTGGAGCAGTAAAAGTCAAGGCATAGATGACGCTTTCCCCTTGAACAGTGAAAAGAAGACGACTTCCATCTGGGCTCCAACATCCCGACTACAAAAAATACAATAATCAGACAAAAATCAACTAAACAACGCAACAAACATAACAGCACTTACCTGGCAACGTCCTTTAATACAAGGCCAGCGCTCGCAGGTCCACATTCTGGTCTCCCACACCCTAAAGAAGAATATGTTTTTTCTAAAGAATTTTGATAAATAAACTAATAATAAATAATAAAATAAATATCTAACTGAGCAGAGACAAAGAGGAGTTTGAACATTGTTGTTGTAAATAACAGATGGAATTGAGGATTGGTTGTGTTTGACTGATTTAGACGAACGTGTTGCATTCGAGAGTACAGTGTTGAAACAGCTGAAGGTTTGCAGTCTGAGAAGAGAGAAAATAAATGCCCATTCTTTTGGTAATTGTTAAAATAATCCGGAAAAGACACCATTATTTATAGTATGAAAAGCAGGAGAAGTGCAACATGAGCTCCTGAATTCAGAGCACTTCCTATACAGCGACAAACGTTTCCGTAACCCAGGTGATTTACAGAAATGTGTGTTGTTTTAACTTGGCAGGTGAATTATTTGTTTCCGTCATTGATTCAAGAAGTCTCATACAGTTTCAGGGCTCCACGTTTTGTCTGCTGCACAATAGATATTCTGGAAAAAAAACCCTCTTCACTGCATATATCTTGACAATAACATATGGCATTGATAATATAGATTCTGAATACACAACATTCAATGAGTGGCTTAAACAGCTAATCTTGATATAAAGAGTTTGTAGGAAATGTCCCATGGTGCATCTGTAAATGTGTAACAAGTGTACCTGAAGAGCGCAGCAGGGGTGGAGGCTAAAACATGGCTGCCATCAGGAGACCAGGAGAGGAAGGTGACGCCTCCTCCTCCCACTCGGTGCAGAGGAACACAGCTTTCTGCAGCCACGTCCCACACCTGCCACAGACACAGTCCTCTCTTCACTCACGTACTCTCCACAACAACCAGACACAAGACGGACAAACTCTTACCAACATGGCCGTGTCCATAGGTGAAGCCGAGACCAGAAGGGATCCGCTCGGAGACCAGGCGATGGAGGTGACGGGGGAGTGACCCGGGTGGGATAGAACCTGGGCACAGCCAGAGGAGGGTCTGGGGTGGAGAGAACGATGTTAGCAATTTGTTTTGGAATATAACATATGTACAGTAGAACCTCACAAGTTACAACAGCTTTAAAATAGCTTCACTGACCACAAGTTCACAAGACATTATTAGAATTAATCATGTGATGAATATATTTCTGATATTTGGAGAATGGCTCGTTGGCTACAGTGACCCCTACATGTATGATCTATTGGGAGTAAGTTCAATTCAATTAAAAGTATTCTTGTATATCCCTAAATCACGACAGTATTTATCTCAAAGGACTTATAACCATTGAATTTGCTAACACAGATCAGAGAACCAGCAGTTCAACACGAGAAATGTAACGATTAAAACACATTGGTCCATAAGGGGCAGATGTCCATAAATGTTGTGAGAACACACACATTAGAAGGGGTGTCAGGGTCATTTGTCATTAGCATAATTTAGCAGTACTAGCTTCTTTACACATTAGAAAAATAACTCAAATCCAAAACATCTGGTCTCTGGCACACCCAGATTTCATGATGAAGAAGGACATAAAACTAGTGATATGTTGGCCCAGCTCACCGTCATCAGCTCCCAAGGCAATCTCAAAACGTCATCAATTATACTTAACATAACACCCATAATAAATCATGAAAAGTCCTCATTTAGCATCAAATAAATATCTACCAGCTCCCTATGGATTTGTTATTGTTGTATTTCCTGTGTTGGAACTGATTCTGATCGATTCTCTGATCTGTTTGTGAATCAACACTCTTGTAAAGTCCTCAAAGGGTAATTTATGGCTATTACAAAAATGTGCTTAATTGACTTGAATATAGAAAGTTTAGGAGGCCTGACACTAGTATAAAGTGGAGGATGAGGGCTGTACCTGGTGGATAAAGAGCAGGGGTCCACGTGCCACACCAGGATGCAGCTGTGACACGCCACCGCCAGAGCCGACGCACACAGAGGCTTCCACTGCACCGCGGCCACGCTCTTCTGCAGCCTGTGTTTCAGGATGGGCGTGGTGGCACTAACACACACACACAAATAAGTATTAAAAGAGTATTATATAGTAGGGCTGTAATTAACAAGTATTTTGATAAAAGAGTAGTGCTTAGATCTGGAAAGATGAGTAAATATGAGTAATTTATACATCAGTCCAAAACAAAGCAAAACAAAAACACACTTGTAAAAAAAAAACACTTGATAAATCCATTGGAAATACATTTTAATTTAATTCTACATTCATTAATTATAGAACTATGGGAGTGAGAAAAACTTATCCAAACATGTTAAAAAGTAATAATGTCTAAATTAGTTGACAGCTACAAATCAAATCCATTCACTTGTAAATGATATACCTTTTGGGGTTGTAAATCTTGATAGAGTCGTCTAGAAGTGCAACAGCAAATTTGTCGGTGTGAGGATGCCAGACAAACGCTCTCACCACGCCTTCGGACCTAACAAAGCAATTAAAGACAACAATAAAATAAGAAAATATTTTCTTTAGCTACATTCGAAAACAAATAAAGCCTTACCAATTCAAAACTTGGGAAAATTCCTCAATCATGTCTTCACTACTCAGCTATGGAAAAAAACACGACGGAATTACTGACATTCTCTGGAATACTTTAAAACAGATGTACAAATGTAAATTCAAGTACAGTAACATGAGGAAATAGGGATCCACGGAAAGAGGAGATCCGTCTGAGCAGCGCGAGAATACATCCTGAGCTCAAAGACAGCCATTTAGGCACTAGAAACATCAAAGAAGGGAACACAAAATAGATTCAGAAACACACACATTATTATATTACAATTGCAGCACAATTATTCCAGAGTTCACAACAAGTCGTTACAAGTGGAACGTCTTACCTTCTGAGTCCGAGTTGGTGACTTCATTTAGTAATCCTGTGATTCCCCCATCTCTCCTGTGGAAAGATGACGTATAAATGTGTATTCTAAATGTCAGTATTTGTTAATGGTCGGGTCACTGCACCAGGCCGAAGCGCTCCTCATCCACAGCGTCTCCGAGTGGTCCAGGAAAGCTGCTTTACTGCTGATCTCAGTCCGACTGTGGAGCTTCAGGGAGTCCCTCGGGAAATGAAGGTTAAAGAATGTGTTGTCCTGGAAAAATATAATAACAAAACATAAAATACACCATAAATTTAAGAGCTCACATAAAAGTAATGTATTGGCTGTGGATTGTGGATTTGCAAGATGGGGGATGGGAGAAAACCAAAACTCTGCTGTGATAAATGTAGATTCTGTCTAGTCTAGTAAGATTCATTTCCTAGTTTTAATTTAATTTCACAAATGATTTAAAAAAATGTGGGCCAAAATGTCAAAATTAAATCAAGCTTATTGATTAATCTAAGCTCACTGAATATTTTAAAGTCAGTTTATTCCTATTACTATTACATGAACAGAATTGAAGATCTGATTCCTAGTCTTTCAAATAGAGGAATCAGACCTTAGATTTTAAACCTAGATGAAAGCTCTTTTGAAATCTCAGAAAGCATATCCAGGACTCCAGCACTGTAGCCCCTGACTCAGTCTTACTATGCACATAAGCACAGGATTTGGAGGAACATGTGTGAGAGTTGGAAAACGCACAGATGCCCTGATACCAGCAGAACTATAAGTATCATTGAAACTCTCCTTCACGGAGGTAGAAGTAGTGAAGGCCTGACCTGTGCCGCTTCATCGCTGTTGTGTCCGGACACCAGCTCGTTGTTGGACTCGCACAGAGTGGTGTTTCCTGAAGGCAGCGGAGGAGGGAACAAGGCCAGAGAGCACATCTTTAAGTCCTGCCAGCAGAGACACACACACAGGTACAGTTAACACGGAGGTGGAGGTTCCGGCATGTGCTGCTGCAGGGGAGGCATTGCTTTAATATCACACGTAAAAGAATAAATGTATATTAAACATATATGGCTAATCTATATTAATTCATAATTGTTATATGTTAATTATGTAACCCAGTCAACATGCAAAATATTGAGCAATCAACCACTTTGTAAAGTCCTCCGTGACGACTGCTGTTGTGATTTAGGGCACAATGAAAACAATTAGAATCGAAATTCAATACATTTCATAAACTTAAACGTTTGCTTTTTAATTATTTCACTACATGCACACAAAAAATTGACATCACATGGTAGGTGGTGGTGGTGACAATAATTGAATGGACTTCTTAAAAGATTAATATTTTGATTACAACAGAGGTTAAAGCGGTGACAGTGACCTCAGGTAATCTAACTTAATCATATTAACACATAACAACACAACAGCTAATGTTCCTGGTATAGACTGTTGTGGCTAAAGTTGCTAAAAGCAGCACTATCGTGGCTACATCACTTGTCACTTGGTCCTTCCTGTCAAACACCCCAGTCTTACCCGTCTGTCCCCGCGGTGTGTCCTGGAGTTGGTTTATACCTCAGACGTTTTTAAAACACTGTAAACAGACATTCTTTAGACACATCACATTTGAGTGAGGGAAGCGCGCCGACAAATCAGCTACGGAGAGCGAGAAGGGACAACCTGTTTTTGACTCACAGCGCAGAGAAAGCAGCGCCCTCTCGTGGACATAGAGTACATTATATAAAGAATAAATAATATATAAGGATAAGGATTCAAGACAAGAATATGTTTTGTTGAGGAAGTGAAGGTCTCAGGCAAAATTATTTTCTTATCCGTCACATTTGAACCAACTCGGACTCTGCTGGTGCCCAGGGTCAGGACGGTCAGGACCTATGGTCAGACTTTACAATCTATCGGTCAGATATGGGAAATCTGGAGACCTCCATCTTCATTCTTTTCAATGCACTGTGATTCTTTGCCTTGTAATTTCAATGTGTATATGTTTAAAGCCTTTTGTTTCCTATGTTTGTGTTGGGTTGTTTATGAAACGCTTTGTGTTTTTCTATGAAAATGAATAAAGGTTGATTGATTGATTGATTATTGAAGAGGTTTGTAGTTTTATAATATGATTATTAGATCTCATCATGTGAAAAAATCTGCATTATCTAAAAAAAATAAAGTGCTGACTGGGGGCAGTTATGCCAGTTCAATTTGTCAAAAATAACACGATCAGTATGCATTTGAATAAACATTTGTTGCCAATCATGTCTTAAATAGATTTTTGATTACATTATAGAAATGTAATCACTCAAATACAACGTTTTTTCATTGCAGGCATAGCACAGCACCGAATACTCTGATGCCAGTTTAAAAGGGGTTTGTGGTTATGTGCGTGTGAGTGCGCGCGTGTGTGTTTGTGTATGTGTGGGGGATAACAGCGCCCCCCTCAGGCGAATTCACATTCCGTGACGTCAATTCAGCACTGGGAAGGAGACAGCTCCCTCCCCCAAACCAGCGCGCTCCTCACGTTGCATGGCTCCGGTTATTGATAACACAATTTACCCACTGGGATCCATCCCAGAAACGTGAAACTCGTGGATGTCCGGGCGCTGGATGTAGGCCTACGAAACCAGATAGCAGCGAGGGGGCGAGGAACGAACAACTGTCCCCGCGAAATACCAGGACGGAGCCCATCCTTGCACTTGACAACGCGACATCAGCCGGACAGAAAGGTTTGTGAATGTCAGACTATGATGTTAAACCGAGACTGGACCAGGACCCAGGCTCTGAGCACTGAGATTATGTGTGATGCCGCTACTGCTGGCGCCGCTCACGCTGCACCAATCAAAGCCAGCGTGCTCGCTCTGCACCGCTCAAAGTCTGATATTTGTAACAACACAAAATGTCTCTCATTCTGTGTGTCACCACACACAGAATGCCAGCACCAGTGCGCTGCGGCAGGAGACTGGAGCACGGGCTTAAGGCTCACTATTCATGCACGTCGGCTCTGATGCTGAGTGTCATCGTCACATCCTCGGTTATTTAAAGATTGATCTTCTGCGTTAGTCCATGTGTGCGTGTGCGTGCGTGTACGCGCACGGCCGTCGCTTGTTTATTGGCCGTTTTTACGCTGCTCTCGCTCAGCTCGTGCAGTGGTGCAGTACAGGACATGGAGCTGCTGCTGGAGATGTACCACACTGTTTTCACTCTTCACACGCACACGCATTGAGATTACTCACACTGGCTGTTACGCAATTTAGCGTATTCTTCTGTGGCATAGAGTCTGATGCATGGCGGATGGCATACGAGCAGATGAGACCGTGTGAACAGGTAATAGTGTGGATGGGTGCACGGTGTACCTCTGACTCATTCATAAAGCCCTTCTAGTGAGAGGGTCCCATTCACACAAACACATGACTGCATATGCAGCTGTAAACAAGTGGCAGCACAACTTCAGGCGTAAAGCAGCACTTCAGCACTGGACAGCTCCTGGAACACTGAGCAGTGAGCATACAAAGCGTCATGTAAATAAAAAAAAGAGACAAATACTTTACCATTGTGGGTAAGGATTGGGTTGCTGTAACTGTAACTGTCCAGCACATTGAAGTTAATGGTAAGTGAGTAGCAGGACATTGTCATCAGCTGCTCTTGAGTTGAACTGCTCTGAAGGCCTAATGCAATGTTTTCCTTCTTCTAAATGTTATGTGTGTCTGATTCCAGGTGTTTCCTCCTCTGACGCCGCTTCACTCTGCTCCTCGTGTTGATGAGTGGGACCTGTCTCCATGAGCCCCGTGCCCCCTCCCCCTCCCTGTCAGGCTTCAGCACGCCACTCTCAGAGCCATACCGCAGACTGGACGCTGGCACCCCCGCTCTCACACCGGAGACGGACCTGACCCCCACACAGTGTGTGCTGCGTAATGTTCTGTCCATAGACACCGGGGCCCAGGGCGCCCCCGGGGGCTGCAGCCCCACCCCCAGTGATGGACCCCAGTTTGATAATAGTGTGTTAACTCTGCATGAACATGAGGCATGCCAGTGCGGCGGAGCAGAGGCAGGCCACAGCCCGGAGGCCGGGGCGGTCCGCAGGCAGTCCGAAAGCTTCAGGCTACAGGCTGGAAGTGGAGGCTTTTTGGAGGGGCTGTTTGGCTGCCTCAAACCCGTGTGGACCATGATCGGAAAGGCCTACTCCACTGAACATAAACACAACCATGAAGGTAAGTGTGCCTTTGTGAGACTGAGGGTAGATTATGATGTAAGAGCAGCTTCCCTCAGTACTCACATCATACAGAATGCTGTCTCCAGTGGGGCAGTGGACTTTGCTCTGCACTTGTCACTTTGCTCTGAGAATGTGGAGAACTCAGCAGCTTCACTCTTCAGAGATCTGATTCCAGCTCTGGGCCTTATAAAGAATCGATCTGCCAGTCTATTCAGAGCTGATTCTTTTAAAGTGACCATGCTACGTGTCACTGATTTAGAGCCAGTGTCTGACGGATGTCACATAGATTAAGACACATCTCGTACAAGTCCTCGAGCAGGTGATGAAACACATAATCACTGTACATGTACTTTGGTCAGTGGTCATTCTCACATTCAGTCTGTCTCATGCACAGTACAGTGCACTCACAAACAACAACACACAGTAACACAGAACAGGCTGAGCTGCTGCAGGCTGCTTGGAGTTGTTTCAGTGGCATGTTTATTTTTTATTTATTTAATTAGGGACATTTCATAGTAATGAACATAAAAAAATATGTAAATAGCCTACGGCTAAAATCTGACATCTGTTGTCCCTAGACAGGCTGATGTGAAACTTCACATTTAACATCAAAATCACAAAAACAATACCGGAAACAAGACCACTACAGGACAAAGAACAGAACAAGATACACATTCACATTTACTGTACAAGGTACATTTGGGATCAGGTAGATACAATGACAAAAGACTGGACAGGACAGAGGACTAGGAGGACAGAGGAAAGGCAAGGGTAAGGCAGAAAGTGAGTGAGTGCGAAGGCGGTTTACTTCCACAAACCCAGCATAAGTCAATTCATTAACTGCTAAATTGATAAAAATCTAAAATGAATGCTATAATTCATTCAAGTGTTACTACAATGTTTTCCATTGAGGTTGAACTATGTATCACTCAATACAGATTCATCTTTTAGATCAATTGGTCGGGACACTAGATGGGTTGAGAGATCATTTTTAGAGGGAGCCTTTCCTGGGAAACATGATTCAATGATGTATCTACAACACCACAAAAATACAAAAAGAAGTAACAATTATGTGAAAGAAATGCCCTGGATTTAAAAAAGTAATATAAAAAGATGTCCATAATGCAACAAAAAAACTACATTGGCTTTTTACTTGTTCCACTATATATTTTTTGTAAATCTCTTTCCTTGACTCCAGAGTTTGTTTGGTCTTATTGTGTTCATATGTTATCTTTGTATTATTAAATTCTAACAAACCTATTCAAATACATAAATAATTGAAAGGCTTACAATTTGCCCTTTACCGGGTTGTTTCTTTGAAAAGCCAGATATATTTCAGTGCTATACAAATAAAGTTTCACCCCATCTTGAGCAATTCAAGTCAATTCAATTCAACGTATTCTTGTATAGCCCTAGATCACAACAGTAGTTACCTCGGAGGACTTTACAAACCATTGAATTTGCCAACACAGATCAGAGAATCAAACAGTCCAAACACAAGAACTGCATAGAGCCATTGGTCCATACGGGGCAGATGACCAATGTCCCTAAATGTTTATAAATCTCAATAAATGTTGTTGAATGTCAAGAGTCCTGGCTCCTCGTCAAGGAAAAACTCAGTGGGAAAAAATAAGAAACCTTGGGCAAATTGAATAAATTCTTTCAAATACACTGACAATAACAAAAGACATTGAAGATTGTAAATCAAGGAATACAACTTCTTGACAAAATTTAACAACGGAGATATCTGTTTTTTAATTGACTTCTTAATTTGCTTTGCGACTTGGCGTTATAAGTTTCTGGTGGGTCCCGACACGTTCCATTTTAGAACCACTGCTACAGATTACATTATACTTCACCATCAGCATGACTTCCTTGCTCATACAAACCCATATGCGTTGTCTTCTGTGCAGAGTCGTGGGAGGTCCCGTTCGAGGAGATCTCTGACCTGCAGTGGGTGGGCAGCGGGGCACAGGGGGCAGTGTTCCTGGGAAAGTTTCACGGAGACGATGTGGCCGTGAAGAAAGTGCGAGACATAAAGGAGACGGAGATCAAGCACCTACGCAAACTCAAGCATCCCAACATCATCACGTTCAAGTAAGGACACTCGCCTCTCCAGGACCATTGAATCAACTGCAATCAGTGACGCCAGAATCCAACTTCCCTAGTGCCATACTTATTGGTAGAAAGTGAAAGGCAAATATTTAAAACCCCAATGAGAAATTATGCCATGAAAAAAGTGGAGTGGCTTGCATCTCTGACTGATCTTATCTCTGACTTGTAAGATGTCATTTCCATGGCAACATGTTCTTGTTTTGGATGCTTCACATGGCAGTATTTATTCACTCCAATCACAATGGCAATAAACGAATGCTGTAGCCATAGTTGCTCTGCGACAGACTGACAGAAGTGAGTCAACCAAAATCCCATCAACCCCTCTGACAATCATGCACACACACACACACACACACACACACACACCTGACTCACACTAGGTAATGTGGGAGAAGGGTCTTTCCTATGGACACAATGGCAGTTTGGCACTTTTAAGCCACAGCCGCCCTGGCACCTGGTGTTCCCAGTGGTCTGCCATCACAGTATTAACCAAACCCTACGCTGCTTAGCTTCAGAGGTCTGACAGGATCAGGCTGGCAAGCATAAAACAAAACATTTCAATAATATAATGCAGATGACAAGCCACTTACCCCCACATAAAGATGCACATTCTTGCTCAATAGGGTGGTATATCATTTTTGCCAAATCTATTTCCACATTTTACTAAATAAACATTTAAAAGAAACTGTCATAAGGTCAAATGCAGTGATATTTTTGATCAAAGAGAATTGAGATCCCCTTTGCCACCATGGTTACGGCAAATCCACAGCAAACTCTGACATAGTTGAACACATTCGTTCCACATAATGAAACCTTACCTAATGTCTCTGATTGTTTTCAGGGGTGTGTGCACGCAGGCGCCATGTTACTGTATCCTGATGGAGTACTGTGCCCAAGGGCAGCTGTACGAGGTTCTCCGGGCGGGACGCAAGATCACCCCGTCCCTCATGGTGGACTGGTCCATGGGCATCGCAGGAGGAATGAACTACTTACACTTGCACAAGATCATCCACCGAGACCTCAAGTCCCCAAAGTAAGACAGCACTCAGCTTGTCCTCCCGCCCATCACCCCAGCAAAGGACATTTTATAACATAGTCCAGGCTTTTAAATGACCACCAATACTGATACTAATCTCACAAGCAGTATATTTTAGTTCACACAATGCAATGCAGAACTTCTTATTCCAAGCTAGAATGGTAAAAGGGCTTGTCTTGAAGTATGTGTAAGTCAGTGTTTTTCAACCGCTTTGCTTTGCCATGTTGTTTTGTGTGGTTTTGGTAATGATTCAGTGTCACCTCATTGGTCAGAATAATGTGAAAAGAAAATACTGTGTGGAGATTAGAAAGACTTTTGACTGTTTGCTTATCTATATAACACACTTTGATGAGAATGGCTGTAGTGTTTATTTGTGTTCCAATGAAAACGGAGTGGCACGGCTCAAAAAGGTTGTGGAACACTAGTTTAAGTATGTTTTTTGATAAATCAGACAATCTTAGTAGAATATACCTACTAAGAGCTGATTGGCTGAGTGAGGGCTGGTACTTGTAAACACACTGCTGCTAACATGTACAGATGCAAACATACTGTATAACTACACTTTGCTTGCACTAGAATACACAGTACTTTATACTTGCCTCTTATTGCCAAATGTTAAACTTTTACACCTCCTTTATTGTTATTTTCGAGACAGAGATGTTATACTTTTAATGATGCAGTTTTTTTGTTTGAAAAAGTTACAGTTTTTTGTTTTATTTGAATTAGTATAGCTCTTGTTCTCTTAACTTGTGCACGCAGCACAGCTCCTCTTTCCTACTGTCCTACAACTTGTGATGCAACACCGAAATTTCCCCACTGTGGAACGAATAAAGAATCTCTTAATCTTAATCTCAATCCTAATCTTAATCTTACTCTCAAGAGGTCAAAACAAATGCATGTGAAAACTAGAACCAAAAAGTTGTAATGGCTCGGAGCTAGTTACATGGATGTTTGTTTGTTTCAAAGTGAGACACTCCAGCTGGAGGTAGTAGTAGTTTATTTCTTTGGCTATTCGATCTCAGGTCACATGTTTTCAAAGATCATAGACAATAATAGGAAAAATAACTAAATTGTGTCTATTAAGAATATTAGTGCTAAATAATGTGAAGTATGAATAGCCTAAACTATAGTGTAAACTGACATTGTGCTGTATGGAAGCACATGGGTCCACTGTCTTCACTGACCCTCTCTTTTACACAGAGCCTCACGCTGCTAACATGTACAGTAGTATATCACAGCCCTAATGACTTATTACTTCAATATTCTTGCACTAGAGTGTATTACAGATTTATCTACAGATGTATACATACACAAATATATTTCTTTGCATGAGAGCAGACCTGGGCAAAGTGCGGCTTGGAGGCCACATGCAGCCCAAATCACGTTTCTTTGAGGCCCTCGGACCTTTTCCCATCCGCAAACTTCATACCATCTCCTTCATTTAAATGAATGGGAATCACTGCCCCAAGAAGATTTTCAACTTCATGAATGCTACGATCGCATGTTAAACCTCATAATAATTAATCAAAAACATGCATCTGTCCACAACACTGAGCTTTCTTCAGCTTTAGTCCAGCTGTGGTTCACTTTAGGAAAGAATTGAAATATCAAGAAAACAAAAAATAAATCATAATTTAAAGTACCTCCCAGATCGAAATAGGTTAGCAAAAATATAGCCGCATCAGCAAAAGATGAGCTACTGCACTTTACAGATACACAAAGATGACACTGGATATCTTCAGGTTTCTCTCTGCTTCTATTCTGTGAATACTTCTGTTTATCCGATACACAACTTTTTAACTGAAACTAACTTAAAGTACCTTTCACTCAAATATGTTGTTCCAAATTATATTAAACATTGTAATCATGTGAAAACTTGTCTGGCCCCCCACAACACACCAATAATCCAATGTGGCCCACAGGGAAAATAATTACCCACCCCTGCACTAGAGTATACACGTTTATACTGCTTTTGTTTATACTTAGTTTTTTCAGCTAAAGAAAGAGAAAGTGTAGAAGTGTGCTATACTTGATATTCACTTCTTCTAAAGCATCTTAATCTTAATATCCAAGTAATTTCAATCATAGATATTAATTTGTTTCCCCTGTGAAGTTACTACTGTTACAGACACATCACGAAAGAGACAAGGCCATTGTTTATTCCAAAACTACTCAATACTGCTTTCCTTTTCATATCTAAACTCATCCATTCATTCCGTGCTAAGTGCTTGCGTATCTCCAGAGGTCACCGTACTCCTGGCTTTGAAACTCCCCCTCAATTTTCAATGTTTTTATTTGTCCTTCACTTCTGCAGCATGTTGATCACACACGACGATCTGGTGAAGATTTCTGATTTTGGCACTTCAAGAGAGCTCAGCGACAAAAGTACAAAAATGTCATTCGCTGGCACTGTGGCTTGGATGGCTCCAGAAGTAATAAGGAACGAGCCAGTCTCAGAGAAAGTGGACATTTGGTGAGTCATAATGAGTCAAAGCATTTTTTATGAACTTGTATGGTGGTTTTATTGCCTGCTGCATTCTGGTGGGCTTGCTTTGTGCTCGCAGGTCGTTTGGAGTAGTTCTGTGGGAGATGTTGACCGGAGAAGTTCCATATAAAGACGTAGATTCCTCGGCCATCATCTGGGGCGTGGGGAACAACAGTCTGCAGCTGCCGGTCCCCGAGAGCTGCCCAGACGGATTCAAGATCCTGCTCAGACAGTGCTGGTGAATATGATTATTATACTGTATCTAACCCTAACCCTGCATGAAAGACACTGAGATACAGTCAAAATCCTTCCAAAAGCTAAACGACTTTTTGAAGTGTTTTGTGGGATCCTGGGTTCCACCTCTAGTGTGGGGTTTGCATGTTCTTACTGTGTCTGCATAGGTTTTACCCATAGACTGTATATATTAACGGACAGAGTCACGCCTATCTCCGCCGTTCTAACTAATAGGCCAAAAAATGTGCTCTACTTGAGCTATCCAAAATGGCCGCGAGTGGTCCCGCCCACAAGAAAATTGTGAAAAAACGCATCTGCGCATGTGTCAGTCGGCGCAGCTCCATTCATTTGAAAGAGAGACTTCAAAAATTCACAGCAAGTAAACTAGAGTGGACCAAAAAAATTCACCCCCCTCAACATTGACACACATGTGGAACTTTTGGTCCCTCCTGTAAAGACGTTTTTGAGAGGTCTGCCAATGCTATATGTTAGCATTGGCTAATTCTTCTTCTGGGTCCACCCCCATCGTCCACCCCATCTATTGCAAGCATGTCAGCGCACGTCATTTTGGCCACTTTTGAGCTGGGACCCGCCCCCACTGGTTTTACCCTGGGTGTGTGTGTGACTGTCACAGTGGGACTACAGGTGGAGATTAGCAACAAAACTGTTACAGTTACTGTCCCATCCAAATAAATAAACAACACTAAGGAATTCAAAACTGCTGAAAATGATTCAGCGTGTGCAGTTCTGACTTGAGGCTTTGGTGCGTTACTGGTTGTTGCTGCTCTGGTGCTTGCTGCTACGGGATTGCCGTCCATCCATCCATTTTCTACCCTTTTAATCCATTTCTGGGTCAGGGGGGTGGCAGTCAGAGATGCCACCCAAGTCTCATAGCACCAGCCCCTCACTGATCCTCTGCAGGTGGTGAGTCCACAGGAGGACGGCTGCTCTCTGAGTGTGAGCATAGCCTTGATCTTTCAGTGGGGGCTTTTGGGCAAAGTGGGGTTAAGTGTCTTGCCCAAGGACGTAGAGGTGGGATTTGAACCCACGACCTTCAGGCCTTAAGGCCAATGCTCTACCAACTGAGCTACTGTCGCCCAGACAACACGGCTTGTTGCCGGAAATAAATAAACACTCAACTCAACTCAACTCAAGACTGCACCATCATCAGCAGGAGGTCTGGGTATCTTTCAGAGTCTGCCGATGTATTTCTTTATACCCAAGACATGATATATGTATCAACGAGATACAGGGGACTTTCAATTCAATACAGTATTTTCTTAAAC